CCCCTCGGATATAACCTCCTCTGACCTCCGTTTATAAGCCCTCCTAAAACCCCTTACAAAGATGTATAAACCCCCCTGGGATATAAGCCCCTCCGTTTATAAGCCCTCCTAAAACCCCTTACAAATATGTTTAAACCCCCCCCCCCCGGGATATAGGCCCCCCTCTTTATAAACCCTCCTAAAACCCCGTACGAAGATGTATAAGCCCCCCTGGGATATAAGCCCCTTCGTTTATAAGCCTTCCTAAAACCCCTTACAAAGATGTATAACCCCCCCTGGGAATCCCAGGGAGGTTTATATCCCAGGCTGGGATATAAGCCCCTCCATTTATAAGCCCTCCTAAAACCCCTTACAAAGATGTATCAGCGGCAGTTTACGATAAGTAGACACCAAAAGGGAAGATTGATACAAGTATGAAAGACAATAAATATGTCGGTAAAGGGTAAGTCATGAATAAATGCCTGTCAGAAAAGTTGGAAAAAGTTTGAACGGATGTGAGTTCGTTTGACATAACTTCCTTTTTCACGTTTTAGTGTCGTTTTCGACTGTTTGTACAGAGAAACGTACACAATATTGTACATTAAAAATTGAATTACTTTCACGATCTCACCGATCTTTGAGCAGTTTGTAAAAACGCAATTAAGTCAGTCACCTGAACTGTCCTGATCTTTCTCGGTCACGACAATCTTTCTTTCCGATTGCCTCGGTCTCTTTTATGATGGTGTCGATGATGATGATGACGATGGTGATGACGACATGGTGATGACCTAACTTCCGGTTCCGGTCACTATATATGGGACTGCCGGCCATTTCTCTAAACTAGAACTTAAGATACCGTTTCTATGACTACAATCTCATGAGTCCTTATTATCACATCTGATGAATTCTACTGACTATTTTATTAACATCCAATTAATTTCATTTATATCAACTTGCTTTGAATTGAGAGACAAACTTATCTCCGGAATAATTAATCCTACTGATGGTTCGAAATAAACAATGATTAATAAGTTTCAAATTATTTTAAATATTTAATTTACAAGGAATAAATGATTAATTTCAAGTAGCTTTTGCAATACTGTAATACTTTGTTATGGTCATGCAAATAAAGCTTATTGTTGTTGTTCTTGTAGTGTTTTGAAAACCTTGACCGGTTACCGGCCTTATAGCCACAGCGAAAAATTTTTTTTTGGCGAAATTGTGAAGTTACTTGGGCTCTCTGTGCTAAATTGCAGTGGGTTTAATTAAATGGCACATACATTAAGTTTTTTTATTTCTTAATATGGCCAAAATAATTGGAAGCAGTCCGCCCAGTGACGTCGCACAGGGGCACCCAACGGTAATTTTCGGAAAAATATCTGTTCGGAAGACGATTTGAGAACTAGAATTTTCGGTACATTTGTTGTAAAAATTCTTGCTTGCCTGCCTCTCCTAGGATTTTCGAACATCTACAAAATGGTATAATTACCCATTTTACATGGATATTTATCCTAAAAAAGGCCACCTAGAATTTCCGTGAGCCTTTTTTCAGGCTGAAATTTTCGAAAAGGTAAGTTTTGATCCCTATAATTTTCGAATCACTAGACTTTCAGCTAGGAAATCCGAACAGATGAAAAGTTTTTAGGGGATAAAAATATGCCTATATCTACCGTTTAAATACTAAAATACGTTCAACAATGCTATGTTAAGTGGTTTTGAACTATATCCTCGTTGGGTGCCCCTGGTCGCTGATAAGACTGTTGCATACAAAAACTACGACTACTACATTCGGACTTTATGGTTGAAGCACTTGAGAAGATATAGCATACAGTGAAGGGAAAGCAGAGCACGGAAGCTTAAAATACGTTAAAAGGGGATGGCACTTTCCATAAGCCAGGATTATTTCCAAGCTCATATCCGAGAACAATCGTTTACAGCATTTTTAATACAGGAAAGTGCTACTTGGTGGCGAGTTGGCTGACGGCGAGTCGTTTCCTTGGTGGCGAGATGGTTTGGTGGTAAGAGATGACCGGTTGATTCACATTTTCACCCTGGACTACGAGTAGTCCCCAATTTTTCCTCAGGGATAGTAGAGCGAGCGAAACGCGAGCGCGCGTTAAAATCACCCTACGCGAGAAAAGGCGACACGTGGCGTGGGGTGATTTTAACGCGCGCTCGCGTTTCTCTCGCTCTATTATCCCTGAGTTAAAATGGGGGACTACTCGTAGTCTATTTCCCCCCGTTTATTGCCTTTTTCCCCCACTGCGGAGCCTGGTCCAAGGCTATCCTAAAAAGGGACACAGCACCCATATAAGCAAATTGCACTTTCATAGGCTCTAAGTTAAAACAAAATTACGGCAAAAACAAAACTTTAATTTAACACTTTGGCGAGCGGAAAAACCGCATTTTTAACCAAATGTTAATCCTTCTTGGACCTTTCCCCCGTCGATTAGCATTGATAAAAAATGACCAAAAAGACATTTCCAACATTAAAGGCGTATTTTCGAGATGTTTGGATGTGTTTCCTACTTGCATATTCCAGTGCTTAATGACCCTTAATGACATGGTCAGCAAGTCGACTTGACAAAGGACATGACTGTTCACTTTCATAACGGTTTTCTTTTATTCTTTTGTTTATCGCCTTGCCGATCTGCTCCTGTTTTAATACAGTGGTTGCCAGGAAAATCCACACCCTTTCCTTGTAAGGACACCGGACGGTCACCATTATCTGTTGGGGACCCCCAAGTGGAATTTCCACAAGGGTGGGGAGGGATTGTATATAAAAGTATAGGAAGTTTTGGATATTATGTCGGCCAAAACTCCATTTAGGTAAAATGGCCAAAATTGCCTTAGTAGCTGCAATTTATTAGTCTTGATCATAGTTACAGTCCACCTACTGTGAAACGTTACAGTAAGTATCATATTTTAATATACATTGAGAACTAATTAATTATACAATAAATAATATTTATTCTGACAATATCACATCTTCATGATCACTGAAACCATGACACAGTCAACTTATGACAACGGCAAAGCTCATTATGGTTAAAATAAGGAATATGATAATTTTATTACGGACAATATCAGGTAGCTATGGGTGACATAGGCTGCGTGCAAGCTCTCCATTTGGGCGAGTTCCAAGAAGTCACAGTAGAGCAGCACAAATAGGGAGATGTGAGTGCAAGGTGTGTTCTCTTCCCACCCTCTTCACCCACCATACATAGACAGCTTGCTGGCAGGCTACATGCAACAAGATTTTCTACACTCATCTTACAAAAAGGTTTAATATCAACTTTTATATTTCAGCAAAACTAGCAAATTGTCTAGGTGATGGGGCAGGGGGGTGGGGGTGGGGGTGGTTTCATCATACTGAACACTGTGGCACTACATACTTAATGTAAGTTCAACGCAATACCTGGAGAAACAAATAAGTTACCTCCTCCCTTACACTTAACACCTCCCCCCCCCAAAAAAAATCATCATTACCAGTTGTTTGATGAGTGTTTAACATCTGGGGGGCTCCACCAAGATAGTTACATGGCTACTCTGGTAATGTAACACCAGCATTACATGCCAAACAGGTGATTCTGGGCCTCCCTTGTCACAGTTGTTCCAGCACCTGATTAATACTAATCCATGACTAAGTATGAAATTAATCTTCTCATGTCTCGACTCAACTTTTTGGCCCAGACTTTTTTTTAAATATGTGCATGGAGTTTTTTTTTTGCAGAGGTCCTTTTGCCAAAGGTTTTGGAGCGATTAAGAATCATGTTTATGAGAAAAGAAACAATCAGATTGAAAATGACATTTTCTTACGTTTAGAAAAGGGAACATAAAACTGTCCAAAATCATTCTCATTGATGAACCTGGCCTTTTGTGTAGATGTAATGAACACTAAATGACAAGAAAATGGGAAACTTGTCATGAGCTTCAAAGTGCTGTAAACGTGATTCCAATAAATTATTGCAAACTTGAGAGTAAGGTGCCCTGGACAAAATCCTTTATTATTAGGTGCAGTCCTTAAAGCCAACAAAAATACCTTTACAATTTATTATTTAAGAGGCTCCACAATCCTGGTTGTTCAGTTATAGTTGTATAATGGGGCAAGAGGACACAAGAGTGGTACAACAGCTTTTTACAGACCAGCTGTGTCACTGAATGACCTGCATTCAGTGCAAAAAAAAAAGAGCAGCTGCACCATTGCATCATGAGAGGAGAAATTGTTACATCACATTGCCATAATAGCAAAATTTATCAATCTCAACAAACCAAGGCCCCCCAAATATGGCAGAAAAAAGCAAGCAAACAAACCAAAAATTGTCATGTTTAAGGTATGACTTTCCTTTGCATGATGATTACTTTTTGTCCATCATTTGAGAATTCAAGTGGCTGTCTCTGTCAAGAAAGATTGTTGAGATTCAGAAATGCTGCATCCATGTTAATGTGACGTCACACTTCTACTCTCTATTTCATGACACAGGAATTGTGATCCTCCAAATTCAGCAGCAAATTGCCCTCTTAGTCGAAGTTAATAATGTACAGTGTTTCTGGATTATTTCAAAAAATTTCAATCATCAAATAAACCAAAGATGCCTTATGAGAAATATTAAATGAATGAATGACGCTGCTTGTCAAAAAGATAGGCCAATAGGGTGTTAAAAGTTACACAAGGATGTTTTCAAGATCTGTTAAAATCCTTAAGTGACTTTTTATTTACACTTTGCCTACTATAATTCAACTAACCTGGGACAAGGGCAGAACTGTAAGGTAGAGGGAGGTGGAAATGATTTACTGTACGATCTTTCATTGACAAATACGTGTCAAATTGAAAACCAAAGGACACATTGCGCTTTAGTCTGACATTTCATGACAGGCAAATCTACCTTACTTTCCAAGAATCAGAGAGAACTTCATTCTTTTAATAATAATAATTATAGTGTAGCTCATAATCATTCATTTATGGTTTTTGCTTCATGGACCTGATCCTGTTAGCTTTGATATATCTGTTATTTTAGAGATTAGTATTTGTTTAGGCCAAAGAGTCTAACTTTGTACATCTGTGGAAACTTGGGTACCAAAGAGAGTCCAAGAAGTGACAGTGCATTGAAAACAAAATGAATTCCATCATATTTAGTGTAGAAACTTGTCACCATAAACCTGAAAATTATGCAAACAAACAAAAGTTGAGTTCCATGGAGGAGTATCAATGAACAAGCTATAATTTATAGAGGATATTACACAGTGGCGCGAAGATATGAATTTTATTTTCAAGTGGTAAAACAATATTTTACAAACGAGCGTAGCGAGTCAGAGTGAATAACATATTGTTTCTGCCACGAGAAAATAAAAATCATATCTTCAAGCTGCCGTGTAATGTTCTTTTTATTATATGGACAAAAAGACATTAATAAAATAATAGAGGGAAATTACCGAGATTACGTCATCGATAAACTCACGTGTGAGATTATGGAAAATAAACCACTTGAGTCCCGCATGTAGTTTTTATGAATTTTACGAGTGGTATATTTTCCAGTAAAACACTCATGTCTATATAATAAAAATGGTTACATCACACTACTTCTTCTTCAAGAATAAAAATACCACGGCAAGTTAATGTATCCATAATAACTATGGATAATTAGTAATATATAGATTTAGCCAGGGCTAAAAGCGAAGCTCTGGTTAATAATACGTGTAAACAAAAAAAAATTAAATCGTGTAATGCTAAACGCTTACGACAATGAATATGGCTTCAAGACTAATAGATGTAATTAGCAAAAAAACCAAATTGCACGTGCAGCACACTTTTTCTTCTAATTAGCAAAAAAAAAATTTGCACGTGCAGCACGCTTTTTTGTCTTTCCCTTGTTGTTGTTTTGCACCACTACAACGCTGTTGTGTACGGCTAAAATGTCAAACTTCCTAGTTACACATTGTTTTCTTAGAGGAATTGTTGTATGTGCTTACCCAATATTTTGTCTCCTGTGTTCATGTTCGCTTTTAATTTTCATCACCGCTCATTTTCACCTTGCTGGTCGCTAGCATTTCTCATTTTCTCACCGCCGCTTTGAATTTCCATGTTTTTCTTCCTAAGAAATTCGTCTCCTTTGTTTTCAATAACTCGCTCTAGCTCTTTCTCTGTTGTCCACGTTAATGTAAACATAAAAAATAACGCCGAAAAAGACACGACTTTGTTGTTGTTTTTTCTTCTAAATAAAACCTTGAGTCGCATTTGGGTTGCCATACCTGTTGATTGAGTTATTTTACATTGGTATGCCTGTGGTGCGGACGGATGGTCGCTCGCTCGCTTGGTGTACGGTCACGTGATTACCAAATTTTCTTGGATGGGTAGTTTACCACATTTTCTTACCCATGGTGCTCCGCTGCGCGCTTCGCGCGCGAGAGCTCCGCTATTAAGCTAGTGTCCCTATAAGTAAAAGCTGCCTTGGTGTCAATGAAACGAGATTATTGAAAATTGTGTATTGAACAAGACATAAACAGATCTGTACTTGTCGATTTTTACTAATGGACCTCAGATTTGAGGCATGTGCAATATCATCTCTTTTATTTTGTGACGTCACAATCAAAGATCTGTTCTACGCATCCCATCCACTGCATGCCAATCTACACTGTACGTGTTGTTGGTCGATGGTTCAAAGATGTTTAAAGATATAGTATTCTTTCAGGCTGTTTTGATTGTTCATATTGGACATGGTGGTTGCAATAAAATGGACCAAATTTTTATGTGAAGGATAAGTTTTTAAGAGGAAAGCAACGCCTTTTAAAAGGCAACAAAATATTAATGAAACAACATTTTTCAATCACAAGAAATTTCCAACTGGACCGAAGCGTTCCATTTACATTTCCAACACAATTTGATCATTTATTTCTCTGATAATATCTTACTATACAATGAAGAAAAGATATAAACAATTACTGGAAGCTGCTTTAAAGGTTATCAAAATGCTCTATGACAACATAATGTAAAAGAGAAATTCATCATAAAGAGGATTCAACCAACCTCAACCAACTTCATGCACCAAAGTTTGGTATATAAAGGCATGCAAGAAATTGTGGTAAAAAACTGTTGCATTGTGGTTAAGAAATTCACATGCATTGTGGGTAGAAATTTAAATTTTTTCCCCTGTGATGGATTATGTCTGTTGCCGTGCTTGTTCGCTTCGGGCTTGCCCGTGCGGCAGCAATAATTATTACTGACTATTAAAGGAAGGGGAAAGGAATGGTTTTGACATTACTACAATAATTGCTACAAGGAATCCTTCTGCGTTTTTGAAAACTATTGAGTGGTACATGCTGTGGGTGTTTATCACCCTTCACATTCTCACACTCACATAAACAGATAAAATCCTACACTGTGACAGATGATTGTATGTAAAAAAGAAAAACAAAGTACAGAGTGACAAAGGGGAATGGCCTTGAAGTGATTTGCAAAAGAATCATTACTATTGTTTCAACACATTTTTGTTTTACTCAATTAACTTGTGGCAGACATCTGAAGTAGGACACACTACTGCCAAAGCTAAGCTGCCACTTTATCCCAATTCTGATAAAATAGTCAAATCACAATAACAAACTCTACAATAATATTATTATTTAGATATATAAGGAAAGGTTTTCAAGAAACAAGAAGCTCTTTTAGCAAGATTGGTATAGAAACTTACAGGAAGATAGGCACAAGTGTGAAGAATTTTCTTGTTTCTGTAAATTGTTCGCCATGGTTGAGCTGTTCCCAGTGAGTAAGTCTTCTCGCCTTGCCTTGATCAGCTGTTTGAAATGGTGTTCCTTTCAGGTAATGAAGAAAAATAAACATACTCTGCAAAAAAGAGCAAGAGATTATGTGAAATTTTTGATTCACATGTAATTGATAAATCATTCCTGTGTCCACTCCTGAAAATAACTCCAGAGCCTGAGGTCTATATGAAGTGGACCAGCTTCAGATTTGTTCACCTTCTAAACACCCATCCTGTCTTTAGCCTGCAAATACACCTGTTTCTCCTAACTCCTCACTGTCAGGGACGTTTCACCAGGAGAAATTTCTGCGACTCAGCAACAGAAACTCCATACTGATGACGTAAAATCTGCCTGGAAACTTGTCAGGAGCTCTGATTGGTCAACTTAGTAGTTATTTTGTTTTACCTATTGTTTACAAATGAAAGACAAAAGACAAAATGTCACAAAGTTCAAATGTAAACGTGATGAATCTCTCTGAATATTCCTACAATATATTCTAGGAATATATTCTCCTTTAGAAAAAGCATTTGAGTTTTGCTGGAGCTTGTTCGCGAAAGATCACAAAACTTAACCATAATCAACCAGAAGAAACATAAAATCAAACAAATTTACATTAGAAACCCCATGACTACCAGGTTTATTATGTAAACATTGATTTACATCATCAGTATGGAATTTCTGTTGCTGAGTTGCAGATGATCCTTCTGGTGAAACGACCTTAGCAACGAGGAGCAAGGAGAAACAGCTGTATTCGCAGGCTATCCTGTCTCCTATGTCAATGACTATAGGCCTAAAGACTATAGCCTTTTTACTGATCTTTAACATATATATATGAATACAAGAATATCTTTCATTCTTTTTCAGTTGGTTTAAAAAAGTTATGTACAACACCTATGTTGTATGTTGAATTCAATGTCAGCTTAAACCAGTCTTGAACCTAGTTTACCAGGGATAAAACCCCAGCAGAGAGCTGAGCTTAATTTACGTTGTACTTCTTGTACGAACAAGGACACAAGGAAAATTACCAATCTAACAAATTTTGATCACCTTTTCTAATGGCTAAATAAAATTGGTTTCAAAAATAATTCCCCCATCTTGGAGCTTTTTGCTTGAACTCATTTTTAAGTTTTTGAAAGTCATTAGAGACCCAAGTAGTCAACATAATGTGCGTCACACAGTTCAGATAAGAATTATGTAATGCGGACCTACAACACTCAGCTTAATAATTTCTATCAGCTTTAGGCCTGGCGCCAATTCTTTGGTCACAAAAAAGGTTGCAAAGAGAGGGCAACCTTATTGCTGAGATCATGCAGTTGCCTATGGGCTGCATAGAAGGCTATTTGACCTTTGAAGGGATGAACTATTCTGACATCTAATTCTGATACCCTGACATTTCAATCATAGCATCTAAGAACCTGACCCAAGTTTTCCCAAGCCTGGTTAACAATAATCCTGGGTTAACTATAAAGAGAACATCTGAGTGGTCATGTTAGCCTGCGAAAACATCCATTTCTCCACGCTCTTCGCCGCTGGGGATGTTTCGCGCAGAGAACGTCTGCGACTCAGTGACAGAAATTCCATACTGTTGACGTAAAATATGTCCGGAATCTGGTCAGAAGCGCTGATTGGTCCAAGGAGTAGTTACATTGTTTTAGCTATTGTTTACGAATGACAGACAAAAGACAAAAGGCCACAAAGGTCAAATGTAAACACAAAGAATCTGTAGCACAACAGTCAATATTTGTGGAATATAGTCTTTTCTAGAAGAAGCATTTGAGTTTTGCTGGAGCTCGTTGGCAGATGAACACAACACTATAACGCTCGTAAAATGCGACAAATTTATACTTGGAACCCCATGACTACCGGGTTTATTATGTAAACATTGATTTGCGTCATCAGTATGGAATTTCTGTCGCTGAGTCGCAGATGTTCCTCCGCGTGAAACGTCCCAGCATCGAAGAGCGCGGAGAAATGGATGTTTTCGCATGCTATGGTCATGTTAACTAAACTGGATTTGCATTTATCTTCCTTTGAACAACTCAGCCTTTGGAACCAACTGGCTTGAAATACAGGAAATGTTACCATGGAAATATGGCATTTTTTCATAGGTAAATTATAACTTAACGCTGAGACTTTGCACCAAAATTAAGGACTAATTATTTGTCAGCCATAATATTAATAAATAACCATGTTACAGTGGAACCTTCATATAACGAACCTCTGTATAACAAAGTCCCCGGTATAACGAATGATTTTCTTTACCCCAATTATTGTAAAATTTATTATATGCAAAAGTACCTTGGTATAATGAAACCTCATTGTAGGAAACAAATTTTGCAAACCCCTTAGCACTTTGTTTTATTGAGGTTTCACTGTATTCAAAATGGTTTTATCACCGTAATAACACAGTGACAGCATGACAAGCAATTAATAAGAGATGACTAGTGTCAATACATATTAAATGTATACTGAAATTTATACCTAACACCTCTTTATACTAAACTAACCAATTCAATGCATCTCATTGCAAAAGAAGTTACACTAGCACATTTTTATAAACCTTTCAGATATTCTGTATGATTCAAAACAATCAAAACTAAACTGCAAGCTCCTCAATAATCAGAAAAACCAGGGGGAACCACCAGTACGACATACGTGTAGTTTGGATTGTAGTTGCAGGTACTCAAATGTAAATTTTTGCGCAACTGTTAAATTGTAGCTTACTCCAAAATAAGCTACATTGGTTCTTGAATGAGTACCAGACCAGCAGTAATATTGAACAGCGAAATAATAAGGTAATCAAACATAAATACTACGACAATCACAATTTATACACTAAATTAACAACCGTTTTTCGGGACAAATTAACTTGATCAATCTAAACATACCTTCTTTTACATCAAATAAATTACTATTTTAAACCAACAGCTGATACAAAAGCCAAATCAGATTTCCCAGTCAAGACAAAATTGATCGAAAAAATAGGCGGTAAATTAAACACTACGAATTTGTAATCTTACCAAATTATGGAACATATTTGTAAGGGTCCATGCTGTCGGGGTATCGAAAAAAGGCACGCTCAAAATTACCAAATGGCCGATTATAATGAGCAATACATAGGTAAACCACGTTCCCTTGCTTTCCAGCCAGGATTCGTTCGGATTGTTGATGCTGAGACCTCTCTCAGCTTTCATTTTCGGTGTTAATTCGCTAGGTCTTGGAGTCACTAAACTTTTAACAAATTTCTTTTTACGTGCGAAAGTAAATTATGACGCATACAATATACGTAAAACCGCTGTTTTGTTTGATCTGTTTGTCATGTGACCTATCGCGTCATGTAAGCATTTGCATATTTCAAGGTTGCGTTTCGCACACTTTCGCCTTGCAAATATTATATCCGATAAGGCGTTTCGGATCTCTCTTGTGCAGTTGCTTTATCCAGTTTGCTGTAGTGCAAGTTGAAGACCAAGATGGCTGCCAGGGCAAAGACCAAGAAGACCACAAAAAAGCGAGCTCACCGAGCTACATCGAACGTGTTCGCTATGTTCGATCAGAACCAAATTCAAGAATTCAAGGAGGCGTTTAACATGATAGATCAAAACCACGATGGTTTCGTTGATAAAGAAGACCTGCATGACATGCTGGCTTCCTTGGGTAAAGACCCAACTGATGATTACCTGGAGGAAATGATAAAGATGTCTCCCGGACCGATCAACTTCACAATGTTTCTAACATTGTTTGGCGAGAAATTGAACGGGACAGATCCCGAAGATGTAATCAACAATGCGTTTGCCTGTTTTGACGAAGGAGGGAACGGTAAAATACATGAAGATTTTCTTAAAGAGGCTCTAGTTACGATGGGAGATAGATTCACTGAAGATCAAGTTGATGATGTCCTTCGTGACGCGCCTATTGACAAAGATGGCTACTTAGATTACAACCAATTCACTCATATTTTGAAGCATGGGAAAAAGGAGGACGACTAGGGTAACGATGAGAACTATAGTTGTCTTCGCTTAGCTCTGAAAAGTCTTTTCCTACCTTAGATTTAAAATGGACCTGAAATTAGTCTTCATAAAGTGTATAATCTTGATTTTGCTGGGTGTTTAGCACACATTTGACAGATCATTGTCATCATCATCATCATCATCATCTAATGATCAATGGTGATCTAGATATAAGCCTGTAAAGCATCACATATGTAATGCAGTTTTATATCATCTTTAATTTACCTCAAAAACCATTTAGGTAAACAAAGAAGTCAAAGTTATATTTTACTATAATTTCTCTTCATACACGCTATACTATTTTTTCGAAAAAAAGAACCAATATTGGGGGTGTGTCTTACATGCAGGCACCGGCATTTTGACTTCTCTTTTACCCTTTAAACCCTAGGAGTGGTCAGAATGAAACTCCTCCTTGTAGTATAATTATATAACAGATTGGTGATGAGCATTAAAGACATGATCACACAAGATGAATTCAATAATTGATACTTTCACAACTTCCACCCACTACTTCTGTGGGAAATGCATACAGACAACAATGAGAATTTGAAATTTTGATATTTGGGTTTAAAGGGTTAACATCCATAATTATTCATATAGGAATTATGCAAACACTTAGGGTGGAAAGGAAATGAAACAGATCTGACTGAAATTTACTTGATAAATTATTGTGTCTCATTGGAGTAATTTGGTATATGTCACAGTAAATTGATACCTTATGATTGTCCATAGGAATTACTTACCTCATTATCTCATTTTTAAGAGCTAAGTATAGTTGTTTGATCATCTTGAACACACTAAGTGAACCTAACTTGAGCATCCCCATGCTTTCATATGTGAGTCCCACCTTAACACTTCATTAATTACTGCTGTTTATGGGTTTGTCTGTACCATGAATTTCAGTCATCTCTGCAAGTCTGAAACTCCCTTTGAGTCAAGCAAATGGCTGAAATTAAGGCTGAATTTGTCTTGTCATTTTCACTAAATTTTATAAATCTGAAGCTGTTTGTAATTAATGTGGAGGGTTAATTAGTATTTAAATCATACTTTGGCATTGCATCTTGGTGGTTATTAATTAAAGATTTTCTGGTTATTAAGGGTTTATCATCATTGTCATTTGTTTTGTATTGCTGTCTCAAGAAAATCCGTGTATGGTGTTTTTTGTTGACTGATTTCTTTAAATTAGTTAGAATTTATCATGGTGCCATGTTATACCATCAAAAGAGCATTTTTGCCTTGTAAGAAAACTAACGAAATTATTTACTCACTGCTTGCTTGCAGGCTATCACCTCAATCAGGGAAGGGAGCTGAAGTCTTTTATGAGTCAAGTAACTGCTTAATGAACATTCTCTCTGACTCCAAACAGGGGATGGGTGCTTTGATTAAATTATAGAAGTGTGACTGTTCCTCTTTTAAAATGATTGATACATTGATACCAATAACCCCTGCTTTGTTTAGGGTCAATAAGTTTTCTATTGTTTGCAAGTTTTTAGGAAACTTGCCTGAAGAATAATCATCATTTGACATGACTGTACTAGCTTTTAACATTTATAAGAAAGGAAAATCGGTATTCTATCCTTTTTTTTAACCAGAAGAGCATTTCAGTTTTTTTGACTGGGTGGTTGAACCGGATGTAGACTGGGCGAGGTTTGCAAACCTAAACTTCCGGTGTCTTCGCTGACGTAAGCACTAGGAAGCCTGGACACGATAACAATATTAGAGGTCGTGTTTCAAATTCATTTAAATTTTTGTTAGGGAGCAGCACACAAGGTTTTTTTCTGGTTTCTATTTTCCCTTTGCTGTTAACTGGATCGTGATTCCCCGAGCCACATCATAAGATGGCTTCAAGAAAAACGAAGAAGTCGAGTAAAAAGAGGGCTCACAGAGCCACCTCGAACGTTTTTGCTATGTTCGATCAGAACCAAATTCAGGAATTCAAAGAGGCCTTCAACATGATCGATCAAAATAGCGACGGTTTCGTTGATAAAGAAGACCTGCATGACATGCTGGCTTCCTTGGGTAAAGACCCAACTGATGATTACTTGGAGGAAATGGTGAAGATGTCCCCTGGACCGATCAACTTCACAATGTTTCTGACATTGTTTGGCGAGAAATTGAACGGGACAGATCCTGAAGATGTAATCAACAATGCGTTTGCCTGTTTTGACGAAGATGGCAACGGTAAAATACATGAAGATTTTCTTAAAGAGGCTCTAGTTACGATGGGAGATAGATTCACTGAAGATCAAGTTGATGATGTGCTTCGCGACGCGCCGATCGACAAAGATGGCTACCTGGATTACAACCAATTTACTCATATTTTGAAGCATGGCAAAAAGGACGACGATTAGGTTAACATTATCTAAAAATTGCGTTATAAAATTCTGTTTGGCTTCTAGCCTGATTATAAGGGACTTGTATTTTTGTAATTGTATAGTTGTAGTTGTATTTCTAATTTTAAATTGGCTATTAAACGGTATAAGTTTATGAAGTTCACCATTTATGGCTCGATCAGAGTGTGGAAAAAGAATGTCTGGAATGTGAATTGATGACCCGTGACTGACTGAATGAAGTTATTCGTCAGGAAATAGGAATATTTTTATATTTCCACTTTATAATTCAGTAGGTCAAGCACTGTGGCTAGAATTTTAGGCTGGATTTTATTTTTTGTACCTGGAGATCATTGCCTGGTTTAGTATACTGTGCATGTTTGTATGTAAGTTCAAGCTAATGCCATAAAAATGGGCTTTTGTAGAGAAACAGGAATAAATAGAACAGGAACATAACATTTTTACTGAGTTTATGGTTTCGATACCATTGTAACTTGTTTCACTGTCTATCAATCTGGGAGGCCAAGCCCTGGGGTGGGGGGAGGCACTTGGGCATTTTTTGGGTGGGTATGTGCCGCCTGGGACTCCAAATTGGCACCCTGTTCTAAAAAAAATTTCCCCTAAAATTGATACTCCGTTCTAGAATTCGGCCTAAAACTGATACCCCGTTCTAGAAATGGGCCAATTTTTTATACTCCGTTCTATGGTGCAAAGAGTACAACAGTTTGCTGTTAACGCATTGAACTGTATTTTCAAAAGCAATCTGTCCTTGAGTAATTTCAAATGGCTGCTTACAAAACTGGAGCTTTCGTGCGTTCAAAATATTATACCCCGTTCTAGAAAACGCGTCTGAAATAAATAACCCGTTCTAAATCAGGAGCTTCAAAATCACGACCCCGTTGGGCGGACATCCCCGTATAGGTAATGTATGGGAGTACCCCCCCCCCCGGGGGCCAAGCCTTGGGTACAAGGTTGAACAGTCATGTCTAATGTGACTATGAGGTCCCCCTGCTACCTTTTCCTAGAAAGGGGTTTCTGGGGCATACTGCCCTAAAAAAATGAACTCTTGAACCTCTCATATGCAATTTCCAGCACTCTGAGCATCAAAAAGAGTGCCGTTTAAGTTATTTTTTAAATTGACTTGTCAACAAGTTTTTTTAGATAAATCGCTATCCAGTCAAACAGCCCATAATGCACCTTGTCTACCCCACAAAATTTTGCATAACCATGGGAATGGTTATACAAAATTTTGGGGGGTAAACAAGGTGCATTATGGTCTATGTGAGAATGGTGAATCACCCTTTTGAACATCCTCGGAAAGTCTACGGGCTGAAAAAAGTCCGTCCGTTTAGAATTTCTCCCGCCCCCATTATCTGCACCTGGGTCTCCGAGGCCTGTAGTCAAATCTCGTCTTTTGCCTCCCCTCCCTCCTTTCTGCTCTCTTGTTCTCCTCTTGTACCCAATCCCCCTTCTACCAGGTGTGCTTTCGGTGTGCTTCACAAACGCAAGAGAAAAGTCTTCCTGACCCAAGAATTTGGCAGTTTAAGGAAAGCGAAGGATCGACGAAAGTGTATTTGAATATCCATACTGTAAAGTATAGAAACGGATCACTCGCCATGTCAGGTTTTTTCAGTCGACACAACAGAGCAATTGTCTGCACTCTGGCAGCGTCTGCAGGATTGTACTTCATCTATCGTTACTACATTTATAAGAAACAACAAATCAGATCTAGGGCGGAAGCTCTCGCAGGTATAGAGTACAGAAGAAGGAGAGTCGAAAAACTTGTGGAATTACGTGACAAATTGGTATGTATCTAGGGAAATGATTTTCATACAGTTTTCTCTTATTGTTAATGACGGCACCGTCGTCAACAGTACAAATTTTGACAACATATTTCATTATTTGAGCTTTTTCAGTTTTTATTAAGTCTAATCTAAAGTGTAAGCCAATTTCTTTACAGAATCACCTAAAAACTAAACTTTTATTATATGAACTACAGTTAGATGTTGAAACTATAAAAGTTATGCAGAGATTTTACATACTTCAGACAATGACGAAAAGTTTATAGAAGAGTTATTGAATTTGTTTATGACCTTTAAAACCATAGAAATGATCCAAATGTTCCAAACGGAAGAGAAACTATTGAGTGGTTTCACTTGAGGTTTTCATCATTTTGATGTCTCTGATGTTATTTCTATGTATGATCTGTAAGAATAAAAATAATTGGTGTCTATTTGTTTTAAACAATACCATGGAAAATGTTATTGTCAGGCCCGGTTCAGACACTGATCTTTTCATGAGCCGAACCTAACACATTGAATTAAGTACATCAAAAGTTCGGCATAGGAATGCCTGTTTCAATTTGGAACGGTTCAGCTGTTCTTTTTGCCTAGCCTGGCTGAGAATTTCGCCTTTGGGGAGACTTTGGAACGGCTTTGATTCGGATGCTGAACTTTTCGTGTACCGAACCTAATGCATAACTTACTATAACGTATTTTGTATGCAGTTTGACCGAAATGAGCATTTTTCGCCTTTTGAACTTAGTTTGGCTGCAATTCAGATCGGTCTGAATCAATTCAGCCGGTCTAAATAATTTGGGTTGGCCTTAATTCGAATTAGGTTCGGCTCATGAAAAGATCAGCGTCTGAACCAGGCCTAAGCATCCATTGTGAGTGACAGGCTACAGAACAAGCACATTGTTTGTATATATTAGTAATTATCGGAGACAAGTGCAAGTCAAAACAACAGGGCCAGGTTGTTCAAAGACAGGTTAAGATAACTCAGGGTTAGTGCAAAAAATTTGCTTTCAAATATAAAAGCTTGAAACACATTATCGTGTTAAGATGGAATCCACCAGGAAATTGAGTAATTTTAATTCCCAGTGGACAAAAACCTTATACCAAAATAATTTAAAGAATGTTGCATTCTGGCCTAAAGAGGTACTTAGTCATCTGTAATAACACTAAAGACTATTTCTCATGGGAGCCGGAGAAAATAAATGTCAAATTTCACAAGAATTGTGAAAAGACAGGTAAAATTCTGAAAATTTCATGTGTAAGATGTAATTTTGTGAAATTTCACATTTATTTTCTCGGGCTCCTAGAAGAGATTTTCTTAGGTGTTATTACAGATGACTAATCACATCTTTAGCCCTTGAAAAATGTCAAAAAGAATGCGATATTGTTCAAATTATTCTAGTAGAAGGTTTTTGTCCCATGAAAACTAAAATTACTCAATTTCCTGGTGGATTCCTTCTTAATTCCTTTTGTCTACAATCCGAGAAAATCCTTTTGGACAAAGAAAAGAAACACAGATTAAAATTTAACCCCGTGTCAGCACTAATCACCTTTCGAACAACTGGGCCCAGTTTGTTTTGTATCCCACTTGTGCTTGAATTTGTGTTTATGTCAAGCACAACTCTGGCCCTAGCCTGTTACCTCAGAGACTATACCACACATCAGAGGCTCCTATGAAACTATCACATATATACTACAACCTTACAATGTACGTGTTGCATGCAAACTTATAACCAATCAGAGCACAGACAAGGGAAGTATAGAAGATCAAATGCTGCGACTGACAGGCCACTCACAGCAGTAAAAACGGCAGAAATCTTAGAATTGACTGACTGTAGATAGACCCTTAGTTCAACTCTAGTAGTTTATTCAGCCGTTACTACGTGATAAATTACACGTTACGTAATCAACATGGGTGACATAGAGAAATTGTTTCGTTACATAATTATCATACCAGATTAGATACTGTTACAACTGACCAAACACGAACGAGCGACAAGAAATGATGACATCAACAATCACATTGCTGAACACTGTTTACAGACAAAACGTCAAATAGACTAGGACTCTGCAACAGGTATTATATATTCTACAAACTATGACTCCCTTTAGAAAGTTGGTTTACTAACTTAGAACAAACACCACTGAATCATAGTCAACAGTTACTGGCACCGTACAAACGACTTAATGCCCGACTCAAACAAAACTAACTTCGAGAGAATGACTGGACAACTGAAACAATTTGACTAACAACAAATGGCTGTTAAACTGTGACAATAGATGGTTCGAAACGCATCAATCACTTTACGAGTCTTCAAAGACTTAACTGACAAACAACGAACAACGAATAACATGTTGACTTAATTGACTAATCAGATTAATAACCAGTGTTTAATACCATCAACTGACGTGATACAACTCACTTTGACTTGGACGATGACTACTGCACAGGTTGTTGACACGTCAGTCATTGACTGTCAACAACAGTCATACTCAGGACTACATTCACCCAGGTGATCATACTCAACCTATGCATGAACTGAGTGATTTCTGGCACGCTGATTGATGGAGAGCTCTGGTCGATATGGGTGAAATAATAATATTGTAGATTATGGTACCGGTAGGTCAACTCTCTCCATAAGGTGGATACCTTGCTAATACGGACACCGAGAGTTGGTCCCTGCCTTTCTTTACACCTTTTAGTTGACTCTCTATAAGGCAGACACCTCTCTAAGACAGACGTATAGTACAGGTCCCATAGAACAGTTGACTGTATTACTTGGTTGCCAGTTAATTGACCCCAGCAAATAATGCTGTGTGTAAAAGAAGGACGAAAAAATGGATTTTCACGATTGTCTTTTCTTTTCTCTTTTCTTCTTTTTTTCTTTTCTTGTCGTCAGTGTTATTCTTTTTCAGATCACCCCAACATTCTGGGAATCTGCCCACTCATCTCTCCCCTAACCTAGCATCAACACTTTGTTCTAACTTAGGGAAAAATATTGGTTAGGGGAGGGGTAGGTCAACAGATTTCCAGGAACGTATTGTGATAATTTTGTTTGTGCTTTGTTTAACAGGAGCAACTTCTTGGTTCATTAGACAATTTTGAACCAGAACCTCCAGAGACAGAGGATGATGAGGTAGGGCTTCTTAATGGAGTGTGGTGTATAGCCTGGAGGCAAGTTCTCCATTTCTGGTGAGCAAAGCAAGGCTCAAGAGAAATAAATGGGTGTGCAAGACAGCAAGGGGTGGAGGAAAAAATAATTCTCTGCCTTTCGTTCTTCTTTTACTTGCCACTTATGCATGACTTCTCGTGACCCCCCCCTCCCTCCTAAATTGGAGAGCTAGTTGCTACCAGGCTAAGGTGTGTCACACAATTCAGTCGCCGGTACAGGCCACCAAATGTGCTGATGTAAAATTAATTACTTCAGGTGGTAAAAAGAACCATTTCTTTGATGCACCAAAAAGAAAAGAAGGCACAAATTATTTAGTCTAACCGTTGTTAAAGCTTATCTCAGATGTTATAAGATAAATTTTTCATTGTTGTATGTGGATTGGATTTGTTTATCATTTGTCTCTTGATGGCCACTTTATTTTGAGCACGACATTAAGGCATATACTGTCAACAGGAAGTGGTGTTGATTTGCTGATTAATCTGCTAAATTGCTCAAATACTTCATAGGATTATTTGCACTTTTTTGATGAATTTCACCTCTTTAAGTCTGTATGTTATTTAGCCTGAGAAAACAGCCAACATTTGGCACACTACCACTGGTTTCCCCACCAAATGACATCCGAGAAACGAGCGGAGAAATTCCATACTGATGATGCATCACTACCCAGATATGGGTAGTGCTTCTGATTGGTCGTGCAGCGTAGAAAATTTGTTTCAACCAATCAGAAGCACTACCACAGGAAAAAATAACAGATTCCCATTTTTGGATATTTTAGGGTATTTAAAGAAATTATACCCACAGAAATCTCAAATTTGGAAGAGTGAAACAAGTCCCAATCAGGGAACTTGGTTGGGAATTCCTTGGTTGGGACTTGTCTCACTTTGCCAAATGTGGGATTTTTATGGGTATTCTTTAAATACCCTAAAATATCCAAACATGGGAATCCATTATTTTTTTCTGTGTACCCAGATCTGGGTAGTGATGCGTCATCAGTATGGAATTTCTGCGCTCCTTTCTCCGATATCATTTGGTGGGGAAACCAGTGGTAGTGTTGCCAAATGTTGGCTGTTTTCTCAGGCTATATATTATTTCCATTTTCTGTTTTATGATTTCATATTTTCCTTGTCTTGTAGTGTATTGTGTGCAACAGTGCCAAGGCTATAATTCAAACATACCCCTGCAAACACAGGGTATTATGTCGTCGCTGCTTTGTCAAGACATTATTGTGATCTTAACCTTCCCCCATTTTCTGTTTTATGATTTCATATTTTCCTGATTTCTTTGTCTTGTAGGTTGTCTTTGTATTGTAAAAGGGTAAACCACATTACTATTTTTGAAAATAACAACAGTGCCAAGTCTTGGGGCTAGCTCGCCTAATTCAGTTAAAACATTTACCCAGTTGCAAACACAGGGTATTATGTCAATATAAACATATCGCTTCTTTGTCAAGACATTACAGTAACGCTGCGTTAAGAATCTTAACCTTCCCCTCAAATGCGTTGTTTGTCGCACAAGAATTCAAACCCTGGACAGAGAGCGCCATGATGTACATCTCTTTACACCTCCAGACACATCGCTTGCCTTTGTTTTAACTGCCCAGGAAAAAACACAATGTTAAAACCCAAATCTAATTACAACTAAAAACTCTTGGAGGAATTAATAGTTCAAATTAATATTAGCTTGATAATTCTTTGTTTTTGTATAAATTCAGGTAGTAAGGGCAACAAATTTACCAGTGCTAGAACCTATTAGAAAGTAATTACAACCAAAACCGAAAGAGAAATTCCTCTCATCAGGTGATAAAAATGATTTTTTCCATAAAATTGAAATGTTGAAAATGCTTTCGTGTCGAAAAAGCTACCTTACTTAAACTCGGATCAAAAGAGGAGGAAGAAAAAAAAAGAAAAGAACAGAGAAGAACAAAAGGTAACTGATCTACATTCGGCAGCTAAAAAAAATGCAGTGAAAAAAGGAAGCAAATGAGAAGCGGACGATCTCTCAATGTGCGGGCTTCAGTAACAGAATCTTAGAGCAGAAAAGGAAAAAACTCCAAAAAGCGTGCTGAGATAATTCCCCAAGAAAAAAAACACCTTATTAAGGCGGGAACATTCAAGACAGAAGAAAAAGAAACAAGCCTTCAAATCTCTTGCTTTTGGAGAAAACGTTAAAACAAGCTAGTCGTCCAACTGGAGACAAAAAAGATTTCGTTCGCTATCGCACAGGGAAAAACCAGTACACAGAACATGCAAAGCACATACTGGAAAAGTCTCAGACGGAAGCTTTCTTGGAATTCAAGGCACAACACCCTGACATGAAAATAAAGCAGAGAAAGTTTGAATCGCTGAAGCCTTTCTTTGTAAAAGGTGCCAAAGAACGCGATAGAAAGTCTTGTCTCTGCAGGAAACATGTAGAAATAAAGATCATCTTCGGAGATTGCATGAAATTCCGCAAGGCTGCCTTAAAGAATAAAGATCAGGATGAAGGGCTTCATGTTCCTGCCACTGTAACAGAGGCTGCTGAAATGACTCTTTGTCCTAAAGCAGAAGAAGATCCGTACCATAAAATGGCATGTTTGGAAAGAGAGTGTGACCAATGTGGTGTTCACTTGATGAAACTCCTTCCCGAAGAAGAATCCAATGAGGGCAAAGTTATTTGGAAACGCTACGACTATGTCTCAACGGGGAAGTTGTTGGCAAACGGTCAAGAAAAGAAGAAACTGGCCCTTGTCACTAAAGAAACACCACCTTCTGAAATGTTTGGCTACTTAAAGAAACTTCTTAAAGACTACCCCATGCACTCTTTTATGGCCAAGTGGCAACGGGATCAACTCGACAGTTTGCTGGAGCATTTACCCCTGGATCACGCAGTTGCCATCCATGACTACTCTGAAGGGTACACATGCAGGTCTCAAGATGAGACGCAGTCAGAGTATTTTGATGTGTCAAAAGTTTCCTTGCATGTCACTATACTCTACCGCCATGCCACAGAAAGGAATGATGGGGTTGAAAGCACTAAAGAGAACCCGGAAGTTGTGAAGGAGCATATCTTTGTCATCTCTGATGATGTGATCCAAGACAATAGTTCTGTTCACAAGGTTCAGGAACTTTTGAATACTTACTTTACAAAGGAACTTGGCCAAGAACTCGCAGTGATGCATGAGTTCACTGATGGGTGCGCAGCCCAGTATAAATCCCGCCATTGCCTTGGAGATTTATCCTGTTGTGTAGCAGATTTTGGCTACAAAATCCAGCGAAATTACTTTGAAACATCCCACGCCAAAGGAGAACAGGACGCCGCTGGTTCTCACGTCAAGCAAAAGGTTAGCCAGGCAGTGCTGCGTCGAACAACTGAAATCAAAAGTGCCAAGCGCATGCACACTTACCTGAGTGAAAACTTCACTCTTCCTTCAGCTTCAAGCTACTTGTCCAGAACAAAATCTGTCAATTTGAAGCAGCGTATTTTTTTCTATGTCCCTGCCACTGGTGAGGGTTCAGTGAACAGAAACAGGCCTGACCGAAAATTCAAGGAAGTAAAGGGTATCAGAAAGATCCATTCTGTGAAGTGTACCACAGAGCAGGGGAAAGTTTTCAAACGAGACCGATCCTGCTATTGCCTTGACTGCCTGCTGGAAACTGGAAACTCTTGTGAGAATTCCGAATGGGTGGATGACTGGGAAGAGCTCAATATTGAAAGGGAAGCATCACCAGCAACTACTAGGAACGCACAAGACAATACTGAGCAAGTGACAACGGACACAGCTGTCAAAATTGCAGACCTAGCAGTAAAGGGGAGTGTGGTGGCAGTAGCAGCAGAATCTGACTCAAGTTATGACTATTACCTCTTGAAAGTGAACAGCGATGGAGTAGAGGAGCTAACGGAAGCTGTGACAGATGACTATGGCAGCATTTACACCACTGGGCAGGAAGTGCTGAGAGGACACTTTTTCCTCCGGGACAACCTAATCGATATGACGTACAAACTTGATGAACGTAAAGTCGCAATTGTTTATGCAGCGACTGTTCGGCATATTTGTTTTGACCTTGATGTAGTAAAAAGGGGCAGAAAATCGGTTTTTAGAGTGCCAGTAGCTCTTAATGAGGAGATAATGGCCTCCATGTAGTGCAAAACGTTTCATTTTTACTTTTTACTTGAACCTGTGAACTTTGAATTGATTATTTGATAAAAAGACCACGCCCACAAGGGATCATGGGAAAATTGAAAATTTAGTTAAACAAGACGAAAATGTAATATTTCTTCAAAAATCAGTAAGATTAGTAAGTTTGAGTGTAAAATAAACCTTTAGAAGTGATTTTGCCCCAAAATACCAAATTTCATATTTTTCTGGCATGTTACAGAAATGGGTACCGTGATCGTGCTACTCATCACAGCAGCAGCCTGCCCAGGAAACACAATGTTAACAGACCCAAATCTAATTACAACTATCAAAACTCTTCAGGAATTAATAGTGATATTAATATTAGCTTGCTTTGACGTTTGTATAAATTCAGGTAGTAAGGGTGACAAATTTACCAGTGCTAGACCTATTAGAAAGTAATTACAACCGAGAAATTCCTCTCATCAGGTGATAAAAAATGATTTTTTTCCATAAAATTATGTTGACCGCTCCTTACTTAAAGGTAAGGCTAAAAGAATGCAGTATGTAGTGTCATCTTGAAAAAAAAAATACCCCCAAAAAATAAACACACCAAACTAAAAAAATTGTAAGGCATTCTCATTAAAATGATAAAATAGATGTGACTTGACACTAGTTAGAAGTGCACAGTGCAAAATGAGATTGTGAAAGCTGTAATCACAGTAATGTGGTCTTTTCTTATTAAATGGCCTTTTTGTCTTAGTTGTGCCAATAAACTTGCTTGTCTTTGCTTACTGTTATATTGGATATTTGGATGCTCTAACATGGAAAATTAATTTATGGGGAAACCAAAGCATACTAGGTTGTTTGTACTGTACTATTGAATGTTGTATTTTATTAGTCAAGCTTGCTTTAGCAGAAAGAGCACTGCACCGGTGTTGTAGAGGCCAAGCGTTCAAATCCTGTACAAGCCTGAATTTTTTCAGGCTTTCTTTTCGCAACTGCAAAAGGTGCGTCTATAACTGCAATGATCTTCTTTCATATTATTCTTCACATATAACTTTAATATACCATAAATCCTCTATCAAGGACCCCCTTTTCAGGGGAAGAAAGTTAATAAGGCACCCCTCTCTATTAACCCCCCCTTCCCTCCCTTATTTATTCTTCACTAATAAATGATAGACTGTATTAATCAACCACGACTGTAAAACTTCATAGATCTGGGATGGTGTACTTACCAACTGGAAGATCAGATTTGATTCTGATCCTTGGCTGCATGACCTAAAACTTCTTATACTTGCACTTTTCCACTTTGTATTCTAGTTCTTTATGGTAGTAGCAATACTCCTAGGCTTGCTTCATGCTATGGAAACCGGAAATAAGTGCCGGCCATGTGGGCCTTTGACTCGTGTGCGCCTTTACCTTTTCCTAATTTCTTATCTAATCTCCAAGCAACAAGCTTGACTTAACGCTTTTTAAAGAGCATTCTCTTTAATTCTTAAAAGTTGTTCCTTCATTTAACTATCACAAAGTCACAAAGTTCTCCAATTTGTTCTAATTAGTTCTCCCTGATAACACAGCATTACATCCCAGCCTACCCTGCTTTCTCGTCATGCTTTATTGAATGGTTTTGAATGTTTTGTTTTTCCATTTCAAACAAAAGACTCGCAAGACCCTGTGTTGTTTAATTACTTTCAAAAAAGCTTTAATTATCACAGATGTTTTGATTGTTATGATTAATCAGTAACAGATCTAAGAACTTTCAGTCATCCAGCTTGATCTGTAATCTTGGCCATCTGATTGTGTCAGGTGAAGAGGAGGTTCAAAATCATCTCACAATAACAGTCTATGAGTGTACAGAAAGGTTAAATGTCAACATATTATAACTATAGAGTGACAAATAATCTTGCCCTCATGAGGTCTAGAAATAGAAGGGCAGATGCACCTACAAGTTTGTTTATTTAGCAGACTCCTGTGTTATCTGTTGCTTTTGAGGAGAATGTTTAATAGGTGTTTGGGTTTTCTGTGTACTTTTACTTTCTTGAGTATCAGTACATTTAGATTTCCACGAATGTCCTCCCTCTTTTTTCAAGACCTTGCTCCCTAATTGTCCCTCCTGGCTTTCCGCAACATCTCCATTTGCACCTCTCTCTGAATGGCCCTCACTGTTGCTATGAGTAACCTCATATACAGAATCCTTAGAGTTTGCAACTTTGCTGCTATCTTCACTTTGTTTATTTTTCCTCTTTTTATTATTTTTTAACTGTCCTTTATTTGTCCTTTGCTTTGCTTCGGCCGAGTCATCTTCCCAAGCTAGTTCCCAGTCTTCATCTCCAAACTGAACCGGGCTTATGGATTTTCCCGGGGCCTGGTACCTTGAGAGGAAAGAATGACACAATACATGTAAAGGTGATGTTACAAGAGACGATTCGCAATGACGATTTTTTGTGCAACACAACGTTGCAATGTTGGAACAGTGTTGCAACCATCTGAAACAATGTTGCAATGCTGTGTTGTGCTAAAAATTGTTGTTGCGAATCATCCCGTGTAACATCACCTTAAAGATAATTATCTGCAAAATTCCAAACATTCATAGGTCAATGATTATCAGTAGACTGACAGATTGAACTTAGACTTGCTTTGAAAGTGAGGGTTGTTGGAAATGGAAATGGCTTATATTTTAATCTACCACAGGGATTTGTAAACATTTTCTTTGACAAACCAGGCAAGTATTTGCATAAATTGACCTGTATATGAAGACAGACTCATTGCAATTTTTCACTGAAAAATGCAAGTTTGTAGCTGAACTGTTTCGCACATCTGATCTTACTGACAGTTTTCCAAGTCATGATCAATTTTACAGACTGACGAATGGAAGTTCCCTCAGACCAGGTTTAAACTCAAGATGTCACTGTTAGGTCCGTTTACCAGGCCCTGGCAGGATGTTTTGCTAGAGGGACACCCTAGCTATGACCTCTTAAAATACGTACTTTATTTATTATTATTATTATTTATGTCCTTGGATACCACGGCTAATCATTACCGTACATGTAAGTTGAGGTGGGGGTTGGGAGGGGGGTTTGGGAGGAGGGGTTAGAGAATTTGGGAGGGACCCTGGGAAATGAGGTTGCCTCGAAAAGACTGGTTGTCCTTCTTTTTCCAAAGCATATTTGGAAAAACTCTGCCATTCATAGGTTTGAATTCTGTCCAGCACTCAAGATTTTTACACTTGTGAGATGCTGATGATCATATTTATCACTAGGCCTCTTTGACCACAAGGTTATCTTACCCTAATTGTGTTGCATCTAAAGGAACTTTGGACAAAGTAATGCTTATTGATGGGATTCTCTTTGTCACTTGAAGCCTGCAAGACCAACAGAATGACTGCCATACTCAGTTTCTGAGTATATTTTTTCAGATTCTTTATTTCTTAAACAAAATATTTGGCTTAATTCTTGATGCCAATATTGGTGTACCGAACTTGTGGGGCGCAAAATAACTCACTTAGTAAAGGTAACAGGACTGATTGGAGTCCAATTCAGTCTGTACTCATACGAGTGGTTAACAACCACTGACAACTGCATAGTGGGAGTCTGATTTGTTTAATCACTCTTATGATTACAGACTGAATTGGACGACACGAAGTTCTGTTACCAATTAATCATAACTTAAACAAAATTTGTGATATAGAAGGCGTTTTTTAAAATCAAAACACAAGAAATTCCAAGACTTCTTTGCTAACAATGAGGAAAAAAAAACATTTAAGCGCACGTGTGATGGCGTGTACTATCCAATTACTTAGGTATGACGCGTACTGTCCAATTAAACTGTCCTATTAAGGCTGAAATCGGGGCAGTTAATAGCCAATCAGATTTGAAAATTTTTTTAAAGTTATGATTAAATCATAAATCCTTTTATTGCAGTCACCATCTACTCATACATTTTCCTTTACGACTGATCTCAACCAAAAGGTAATTTTTCACGACTGTCTTTGTCAGCTTCTCCGATTTCAAATGTCAATCAAAAAAGGATAACACTAATGCGATACTAAAAGAGTCACATCTGGTTTAAATGAGTGTCATGACATTTCTGGTCATGTTCCGGTCACTGGGTCAATGTTTGGTTTAGCTTGAGACAAAATAGGCTTTTGTTTGAAAACAATACATTTTTTTCTACTCTTTTTTGCATCTTCAGCTAAACTGTCAATACTTCATGGTAGCTGAAAATCTGCTTCCCTTGAGGCCATTTGTTGAATGCTCGTGCACAAGAATTTCAAACCAGAGGGTTTCTGAAAAATGGTTAAGCATGTTCATAGGCACTTTGGTACCATAATCCACTCATGTTTACACACTGTACAATGCAGAGCTATCTTAGAAATCATTCTTGCCGTTTCCAAATGATTTCTCAATTTAATCTGGGAAAAAATCTTTCTTGGACCCAACTCATTTTGTTACCTGCGGAGACGTAATCAGTAATAGTAAACAAGTTGCACTGGAAGTATATTGCTGCCTTAAAGGATTACAGTCACTTACGTATCTAGTGATTCTTCTTTAGGTTCCCATGTATCTTCAATTCTGAAAGAAATGCAAATGTACATGAATAACATAACACAAAATGTATATTCTACACAGTACTTGTAGATGTTGTTTTACTCAAGGCCAAAGTCAATTTCATTTGTGAAGAAATGTTGTGTTTCAACATTTGAGATCAACAATAAAATGTGTTGCAGTACAAGCAGTAGAGAGGTGGGCTCATGCTAGGGTTTGAATACTCTTAATGAATAAGAGAGATCATTTGCTTAAATCCTGCCTCGAAATAAAAAAAAAACTTTTTAGGTTTACAAAAATAACGGATTTTCATAATTATATAACAACTCATACAAATATTAGACGGAATACATGAATACTTCTTTTAACCGCTTATAACCATTCTTAAAGTCTATGTGCACAATTGTTTACTTTCAATTGTCATTCTGTATACCCCTTAGAACAAAAATTCTTTAAAGCTATAAAATATCTTAACTGTCTAGCTTGTATGTTTTGGAAAAATAAAATGTTGTTACCTGTCTAGGCAAAGGTAATCCAGCAGGGGCTATTGGGTACTACTGCACTCCCGGGGGGGGGAGGGGGGGGGAGGTACCAGGAAACATTGAGGTGGGGTTGTGCCTTAATCTCAGGTGGGGGTACTCTTACCCTTAGCCGTATTTCAGACAAATTTATGACAGGTATCAAGGGTATCATGGGTTTGACTTCTATGCTCCTGACCTACATTTTGTAAGGAACACTGAATATTTACCGAGAGATTTCGTAATTTATTTTGAGAAATAGGACTGATCATTACTTACTTGATATAGAACAGCTTATTTAGTTGATGCAATCCCTTAAAATGAAAAAAGACGCAAATATTATCATGAAGATACAGTGTAATCATTGTCATTGAATACTGGTATATATGAACATATCTCCTAGTACATATTAAACATAAACTTTTTTTTTTATAAATTCAAGGGTAGCTAGAACTGCCAAAAAACATGAATGAAAAATTAATACAGTTAAACCTCCACTAATCACCTCTTCACAATGGCCACTTTTTTGGACAGTCCATACATTGACTCTTGTGTTATTAACCTCTCTACAATGCTGGCCACTTTCATCTGTCCCCAAGGTGGCCATTGCGGATAGGTTCAACTGTATAATAAATCATTATAAGTTATCAAATATGACTTTTACGTCCAATCAGGGCTTTCAAAATTGATATGTTTATCTAACCAATTTGCTCTGCTCAGTCAGTGGAGCACTTGACTGCAGAGTAGGATGTCATGGGTGTGATCCCCAGGGCCGGACCAACACTCAAGGTCATAAAATAACTGAGAAATGAAGGTGTTACTTTTGCCTGCATGGCTTAAATGACTACATAAAATGGCACTCCTGTTTCCAGAAGAACATGTAAAAATAGTGTCCCCAGTAATAGTACTTTCATGATACTGATTGGCACTCAAATAAAGTGGATTTTTTTACTTTTCACCTTGAAATATCGGAAACACCTACAAATTTGTGAAATGTTGAGTGACACACTTAGCCCTTTAAGCCATAATAAAGACTAAGTTATAAAATTCTCTGAACTGATCTCCATATATGGCTCCATTTCTTTGAAAAATTAGTTGAGAGAATTTGATGAGATATCAAACAGTTTCCCTTTGGTGATTATGTCATTGATTCTCATAACCTCATCCTGCATGGCAGGCGTTTGAAAGGGAAGGGAAAGTGGGTTTTGGCTGCGAAAGGGGGGTGTGAGGAAAGAGGAAGGGAAATGCCTGCCAGGAGACTACATAGGAATTGTTTTTTGCATTATACAAACATCCACCTTCCTTGTGTGCCCCTTGCGTTTCTCTTTCCTTTCAAACGCCTGCCACGCAGGCTATCATAACATTTTCTTTCAACATGGAAATTGACCTTGATAAAATCATCTGCTGATTTGCAAGGCCTTAGGCTTCATCCGAGGAGATTGGAACTGGCCAATATCCTGTCTGAATGACTCAGAAGCCCAAAAAAGAAAACTTTGGGGAGTTAAAATCCAAAAAATTTCCAGGGGGAGCATGTTCCCAGACCCCTTGAAGCTTGTGCCTTAAAAATTGTATAATTTCAGTATTTATCCTAGATCCCTGCCTACCTTGGAGCACAAATAATTATAATACTTTTTGTTACTCAAGCATAAAGAGTGATTGCTCTTTGAGAACTTACTTTAAATTTTCTTTTGATGATTTCAGCACAAGTGATGGTCTTTGTTACAGTAGGTCCTGATCCTGTTATCACAATCTTGTCCCCCTTTTTGCTCTTTTAGGGCAGAAAAAAAAACATTTTATACTGTGTTTTTCTAGAATAAACTAGCCCCAGTTGATCAAAAGCTACAGGACATGGGTTGCAGTGGATATATCATTGGTAAAATTTCTTCTCAGGTGAATCAGTATTCAACCTGGGTTATGAAGCTGTTTATACGATAAGAGAATGACGTTAATTCCGGCATCAGTTTCACACCAGTGTGAAGTCTGTATTGTGTTCACATAATAAAATTGAATGGTTTAGCCTTAAGGTGTCCTGGCTTGCATAGTTTTCGTGCCAGATCATATATGCATGTTCTACTCACCCCAGACTATAGAATTTGCGATTTCATTTTCAGAATTTATGATATCAGAATGAGATTTTGTACCACAATGGGAATTTCATTCGGAATAAAAACTGGAATGACGTCATCCCGGAATGGCTGTATTTCTTTGCATCTGTTCATCTGGTTAGATTGTGATTGATTACATTGAAAGCTTTATGAAAATCTACAAATATTAGTCACGTGACTTCATCATTATCCATTTCAAACAGAATTTTGTATGATTCTCCTAAGTGCAGTCTCAGTGGAATTACCGTAAAATTCCGAAAATAAGCCCCGGGGCTTATATTTTTCAAAGGCCCTTTTTGAGGGGCTTATTTTTGGAGGGCTTATATTTGGAGGGGCTTATCTACGGAGGGAAATTTGTGTTTCAAAATCAAATGGGCTAGCCTTATATTTGGATGTAAATTTACCGTTTTTGCTTTGTTTTACTTTGTATTTGAGGGCAATTTTCCATGTACAAGCCCCCGGGGGGCTTATAATTGGAGGGGCAATTTAATGGTGGGTTTTTTGCATTACCGGTTTGGGGGGCTTATATTTGGAGGGGCTCATGCATGGAGGGGCTTATTTTTGGAATTTTACGGTATCAGATCACTCCACAGTTTTCTTGTAAAACTCAATGTGAAGCGCGCTTTTTTTGGCTTACCGCTTAAATAATGAGGTATATACACAAGTAGTACCCTTGTTTTTGATCGTGGCTTAAAGACTCGTGAAAAGTTCTGACTATATTGTGGAATAATCCAGCTTGGAATGACCTGACCATGGAATGAAGCAACCAGATACGGTTCATGTGAACCGATGTAAAGAAATATATGAAGATGGAATGAACTTGTTCAGCCCCCAAGTTCACACGGCACTTGATGAATTTTTTAAATCTAAGTGTTCAGGTGTTCTATTCACATGGAACCAATTAACCGTACAATAATTTAGATGCTTAGCTTTCCAAGGTTCCGTGTGAACAGAGCAAAAATATTGAACGGTCACGTGAGAGCTTTTATGGTCAAGTCTAATTTTTCACCAGGTTTAAGATGCGTGGTTCCAGGGCCCGGGTTCCAGGGCTGTGTGAACATGCATATGGGTCCTTTTGTTATGCCCAAGGAGAAGAGACTTGTCAGCATTTCTCTTCCTCATACACACGGGTATTTGATAGGTTTGGTTAGGCATTTGAACAAATTCCCTAGGGTTCATAATTTATGGGGCCATTGCGGCGATCGCCTGTTCATAAGCCCACCTGTAGGATTCTCATAGCCTGTGAAATAATATTTCGTATCTTGCTGCCACTCTTGACTTGTATATCACACGGTTCCTTCTTCCCTTCGGGCTCATCACTAACACTCTTAGTTTTTGAGTAGTGGTCCATTCAATAGCTTTTCTTCCAAGTGCAGACTCCTTCGTCCATCGAAGGTTCAAACGACAATAGCACGTCATATAAGAGGTATACACTGTACCCTTGTAATCCACACCTCGTAGTCCCCAGGACCCCATCGCGTTTAGTCCCCCGGCGGAAGAAATAGGGGATGTTGCCCTTCAACATTTCAAGGTACAAGCTTGCGATCAAACTTGCGATAAAATAAACTTAATTTGCTCCCATAAATGTCTACTTGCCCCTTTGTCTCACTTCGCCCTCGATTTTCGTTCCCCACTTGGAAACTTGGGCCAAAGTCGACAACACGTGACATGTAGTCATCCGGGGTACTGTTTTGCCATTTTTTGTTGCATTGTGGGTAACTTCGCCGTGCTGTCGTGAAACAAAATGGCTACTTTAGCTAAAGCACCGACTACACATGAAGGTAAATATCTTCGTTTAGTTAAATATGGCATTATTTCATATTGTGTTCACACTCCTTAACAACTATGTCTCTTTTTCACTAGAAATTGAAAGACAAATTCAGCAGATTCAAGCCCAGAGGTCAAATTTACCGAAAGTTGACATCGGCGAAAAGGTATGCAAGATCATCAACTTTAAACGCTCTTCATTTTCCTTTTAACTTTGTGAGCGTCTGCGTCAATTTTAACCGAATTAAACCATTTAACGTGTTACTGTTTCATTTTAATTCTATTTAGAAGCGAAAAAGTTTGCTGTAATCTGTAGATTATGCCATTTTATCGTAAATAAAAGGTACGACAAAGTGAACTGAGCTTGTGAAATCATCGACTGTGTTTCTTTGCAGGTTGGTTTAGCGTCTGTTGGTGAAGGAGGCTACGATGTGGAGATTTATGGCTCGGGTGGGAACAGGTAAAATATTTTTGAGGGAAGTTTTTTATTGACCAGTCAGGAAAAAATATAGATTTTTTTATACATTTACTCAAACAAGAGAAAATTGGTTATGGATTTGCCTTTTTTGTAATTTGTTTACCCACAAAGCACTCGGAGTTCTTAAGAACTTGTTTAAAAGTGTTTCTGTGCTTCAGATTGAATTGAAATGTGAAAGTGTTGTTTTTTTGTGGAGCGGGAAAACTGGAATACCCAGAGAAAAACCTTTCAGAGCAAAGGAGGGAAGGAACAACTAACTCAACTCACATGTAATGCCGATTGCCGAACTCGAAACTTGGTCGCATTGGTGGGAGGCAAGTACCCTGACCAATGTGCCTCGGTCATCCTTGCATGTCACAGTTAGTTATGGATATGTTTCTGAAGAAACTTTAGCACTACATGTTGGTGAGGTAACTGGTGAAGTCATCCAAAAGTCATCTTTAGAGAAACTACAACCTGCACTATTTGCTTGCTTTACATCTTATTTGATTCATTCAAATGCTTCGGTTGTCTACTGTTGAGCCTTGGGCATCAGCAATCAAAATAGTGCACTAAGTTGGTGTAAGCGATGTTGTATTGCAGCAAATCTAGTCCCTGCAACCCTCAAGAGTTGTATTAAGGTGACTCAACTCAGTTATTTTGTGAGGGTACCATCCTACTTTGAAGCTCTCTGGTATCCCCACCTTTACTTTGATCTTAAGTCTAACATATAGCATGGATAACATATAGATCAATCTACAACATAGCATAAAATTCATGTCACAGTTTTCAATGACCATGAAATTCAGAATCCAGGTAGTTAGTCAATCAATTGTGGCCCTGAAAAAATTTGACGGAAAACAAATACGAATTTTTAAGGAAATGCTTTTTTCGTGAGAAGGACTGACAAACGTCAACAAATAGCTAATACTACATGTACGTAGATGTTTGCATTGCTCAAAATTGTGCTAATTTGCAAGGCCCTAAAGCCTTTTGCTGACTTGCAAGGACCCATCTGTTATAAAGATCGCAAAAATAAAGGGATAAATCTCATAGTTTATTAGATATAATCGTGTAAAGTTTGCTTATCATTTTCACTTAAATTATGAGCTACATTTGGAAACTGCTGAATTTCTCACATTAGGTCTTTGCGATTTTGGTGAAACTCTGTTCAAAAGCATGGCACTAATGTGCATTATATGTAGCCGAGAGATCTTCAAGAAAAAGTGCCGGCAACAGCAGAATTTTGACTCAGATCCCAAAGAGGCGTGGCACGTTGTAGATTGATCCATATGCTATCCATGCTATATGTTAGACTTGCGATCAAAGTAAAGGTGGGGATTCAAAGTAGGATGGTACCCTCACAAAATAACTGGGTCGAGTCACCTTAAGTAATGTTAATTGAAAATATTACTTTACTCCTGTGTTTGTTTCATTTTAGATTTGAGGGTTATTCTACAGACATTGCTCCAAATGAGCAAGAAGAGGTTAGTCCTGGTTTTCTTTTGTGATCTTCGAACCTTTTTGTCAGTGTTGCTAACATACACGTAAACAACGAAATTATTGCTACCAAAGCATCTCACACAGTGGTCATAATTTAGATTTTACATCCTCCTGCTTGTATCGCACTTGCCTCCTTCCCCTCCCCCTCCTCCCCCTCCCCAGGGAAGGGCTAATCCTTAGGGAATTCTTCTTTGGGGTTTGCTGCCCAGTTCTCCAAATCCTGATCCAATTTCAGACCAAAACATCCAATCTTGTACACCTGTTTTCACACCTGGCCTCTGAGAATTGTACTTGGTTTGCCAGTCGATTACCTTGCCCAAGTGAAGTCAACATAGTGTCTATTTATTAGTATTAATTGGTTTTTTACACTGAATGCTCTGCACTACACACTTGTGGTCTGTTGAAAAAAAAAAAAACTTCTCGATTTTAGAGCGCAATGGTTGAATCTATACTGTGTTTGTTTTTAGCTCAAAGACAGGGCTCAAAATAATGGCTGATCAATGGACACTGTCCGGTCAGAGTGGCCTCTTGACCGGCCAGAAGCTCCGCTCACCAGTCATGTTAACCGGTCATGTAGACTCTTATTCCTGAACAAACAACCACATCCTCGCATGTAAATCTTAGATTTTGCTTCCTTGTAAAAGTACAGTCATGTTTATGAATAAATAATGACACAAGGATTAGTTCACTTTTTTCCTATTTTTTGACCAGTCAGAATTAAGACTTGACCGAGCAAACATTTTTGCCCACCGTCCATAAATTATTTTGAGGCCTGAAAGAACTCAAAATCCACATCCTTTGGGTTGGAAGATCCCTATATAATAGCTTTTATAGGGGAGTCGCCCTCCTTCCTCTCCCTTCTCCCTACCTACCGCCTGGTGCCAAATCAGGTGGATAGTTTTATGTTTTCCTTTAACCTGTTTCTCTCTTGGCATTTTGTTTAGGATGAAGATGATTACTCGACAACAATTATGCACCCGTCACGGAACAGCTACACTGCTCCTGCTGCACTATTAAATGAGATTGCTCATACAGCAGAACATGTATGTATATATTGTACCTTTATAATATCATGTTGGTGTATGTGGTTTCTAGTAGACAAGGTACAGTTGTATTATAAGCGCTTGCCTTTTAATGGTGAGAAATAGGCAAGCATTCTGAAAATAAGGTTCAATTCAAATGACAACACTTTTTGAGTATTTGTAATAATACTCTTGTCAGAACATAAGTGAAACTGATCATCATTGTATTAATTTTTGCACCTACACTGTAACTGAATTACCACTAAGATAACCACATGTTATATCAAAATTTCACTGCTGTTAATTTTTTATCTCAGGTAATTTTTATTGTTCTTTTGTTTCAACTTAATTAGTATATAATACCAAACCCCAAAAAAAAAGAAAAACAAAAATTACTTGAGGTAAAAAAATAACTACAACATTTGCACCAGCTTGATAAAAAGTCCTCACCATTCCATTTGTTTCCATGCAATTCTTTGAGTGTTCCATTGCAATGTATTAGTTTAAATTGATGAGGCTTGATGAAGTGAATATGATTTTTTGTCTTATCAGGTGGACCCTTTTGCTCAGCACAGACAACCAACAATCGCTGAGCGGGAAGATCCATATAGAGCCAGACGGAGGCAAATGATCATATCACCACCAAGGCATGATCCCTTTCAAGATGGTAGGTGTAGATAAATGAACCTTTTTGACTTTGTATTGTTTATTATGGTCAGAAATTATCAAGCCTGATACTTAACTCTTAAGAACCACAGGCTTAACTCTAACTTGGTAGCAAAGAAATATTTTTAGAGTAGCCATGACAAGGTATTAGTTTTGTCTTGTTAGTTTTAGTTGTGATTGTATCTAGAAAGAGATTTGGGAAACAAAAGTGTGAACAGTGCATTAAATACTTTAAGGTTGAGGGAGAGATTGTGTAGTACAGTGGAACCTCATTTTCATTAGTACCCTTTTTAAAATGAGTGACATTTTTCTTCTTTGAGATCATTTTGTCAGTTGAAAACCTTTGTTAACCAGACTAGTAATGTACCATGATGCTCTAAATTATCCCAGGTTTCATATTTACACTGTTCTTTTTTTCTCTGAGTTGAAAGATTTGTAGCGTCAAGTGATTCCTGGGTAATTTCAATTTCTTACTTTGTTTTGCAAGCAACACGGCAAATTGGAGTGACGTAATAGCAGTTATCAGTTGTTTAACGGTTTTCACCCTGATATTGCAATACATATTAGTAACTTGTGAGTGGAGTTCCACTGTACTTTTTTTAGTAATCATAGATAATTGCCTCTTTATGACCCAGTTTTGTATTACTTGAGAACCCTGTAAAGGATTTTTTCAGTCCAACAAAACTATAATCAGAAAGCATGTACTAATGGAAGTGGTTCTACCTCGCCAAAACGTGTTGTCTTGCTGATATAAATAGGGACCTTAAGCAACTACGATGACGATGGCAGTGAAAACATAACTACAACAATGAATTTGCATCCTTTCAAACTTTACTGCATCTATTTGTAACCCCTCAATTCGTCAAATGTAGGTGACGTTTCCTGGAGTTGAATTCTTAAGGGCTTTATCCATGTTAAAATAGAGAAAGGAAAATTTTTTGTCGTATATCCATGTCCTTCATGTGACGTCGCGTTCGGAGGTTTAACGTCGTGGTCATGCAGTGGACGTCAAAGAAATGTACTAAAAAGCATGATGCATGTGCAGAGCTGTTGTTTTGTTTTTTGACGTTGTTTTTGTCGTCGTTGTGGTGGTTGCTTTAGGTCCCTGGTAACTTTGTAGTTCCAGCTACACATATTATTTTTAAATGGCCATAGTAATAATTATTGTAGGCATTTGTCATGAGCTATACATGCATACACAATAGTTATAATTGTTACAGTCCCAAATTGTATTCAGGTTAAAAGTTTTTAACTTGTTCTTAATTATCCTTCAACAAAGCCACCAAGCAAGTACAACATAGAGATAAGATAAACACTGCCAAACATTAGGTAGAATTTTCTACAGCATTTCCTTCATAGGAGTGAATCTTTAAATTTGCTTCCTGCTGTTGACTGTCGATTCCGCTTTGTTTTGCTTTAGTCTTTGTGGTTTATACAGGTCTCCCTTTTTAAGCAAACACTCCTCTCAGGTCCTTGCCTGGATTTCAAGCTATGTTCCACATTGTCTGGAACACAACTTTCCATCTTCCTAACCCCTGAAACTTGTCTTGATAGTGTTGGTCTAAAGAAGGTTACTGTTTGAAGTGGACTGCCATTATTTCTCATTTCCTGGCGTCAGACAAGAATTGAGGCAATAGTGTTTAATATGAGGCCTTTGTAGTTCTAATATCATTCTGTTAAAGTTTGCACCAACTCAGTAATTATTGCATTTGAAATCCAAATTTCTATTGTCATGGTTTGAACCACTAGTTGATCTTCTAATAAATGGTTACTGAAATAATTGTGGGCAAAAATTGTTTAATAAATTTTTCAACTGAATATATTGCTTTTAGTTAACAGAACTTTTAAAATATAGTAGTAGTAAAATTGTGTTGTTATGTTAATGTGTCTTGGTGCCTGTCATCTGGTCCAAGATAATAAGAAGTGAACCATTTCCTGTTGTTGAAATAGTGGGAATCCACTGTACTATAGTTTTGTTGGACTGCTGTTACCCTTTTATATAAAGTAATATAAGAACTGTTGACTTCATTATACTTACTCCTCAACCCCTTTTTTCCATTCAGCGGTGAGTACTGGATTCTACACTCATCATCTGCACAAAATAATTGCAAGAGTAAATGACTTATAGTGTTGGTTATTTACAAAAACTTTGTCTCAAGTATGGGTATAAATGGACGGAATGCCTTGTGCGATGATCTGGACCAAACGGCATCCAATACTTACGTTAATATTAAAATAAGAGTTCTAAAATAGTCCTAAGTTATGTTAGAAGTAGGTTTAACTACCTGAAATACAAATTTTCACTCAAAAGGAAAAAAATGTTTCTCATTAAGTAAGAAAAGTGTTTGGTTTTTGATGAGTGGAGTTTCTCTAAAATGACAGTCATTGTTGGAAATTTCCTCACAACAAATGTTGGTCAAATTTTTTGTTCATTTAAACTATGAATTTTATTTTTTCTGTGGATATTGACCAATGTGTATTCCCTGTCCCATTTGAAGGCCGCTTGCAAAAGTACCTACTGTCTGTAATATACACTAAGCAGAGACTATTTGAGTAAAGATTTCAAACCCTTGTGTGAGGCAGTTGAAAGTTTTACAGTGGCTGAATTTATGCTAGAGACAGATTGTCTGTCTAAACGAATTATCCATCAGACAACTTATTTGTCCAGGTATAAATTTGAGAGAGAAATTTACATGGCTCTTCAGTTTAAGTAGGGGACTGGACAAAAAAAAAACAAAATGGTGGTGTTCATAGCAGTTTTAAGGAATTGGTTGAGAACAGTGCAAGGACTGAAGAGTATTTCAGCTGAATAGTTGTCAATCAGAAAGTATGAATGAATTGGCAACAGTGAACATCACTTTACATGCTGACACAATGAATTGATGAATGGTGGGATAAGGGTTTAACTAGTGGGTGTGAGGTCATGATTTGAAATGGAGAAAAATGCTTAGAAACCTTTTGAAGAAATAGGCAATAGGCCTTCTCAAGTCAAAATTTAGGTCAAATCCATCTATTTTTTGTTTTCCAGATGTAAAGTTAGAGACAGATTATCTGTCTCAGGCTAATAATATTATTTGTCTGACAGGGAGGCTGTAAGATCTACTGAAAGACAAATCAAGGGGAGATGAATTTTGGCTCAAGATTAATCTAAAGACCAGTTGTATATCTAGACGAATTATGCGTCTGAGATAGAGAATTTGTCTTTGACGGATAATTTGTCTCTGGTGTAAATTCGGCCAATATAACTAATAATAAAGAATAACCAGTCCAGTACTGATACTACACAGTGGTCGATTACTGACCTCTGAAGAATTATTTATTAGGAGACGAGCCAGGCTAAGATGTCAGTGAGTGGTACGACTCATCGCAAGATTCCTACCCACTGGGTTGGTGTTACAATGCCGCAGCCACTGTTCCACATGATAATTTAGCTCTTGTTATTGTCTTTTTGTGTGTTTTACTCCACTGTCACTAGCAACTTAGGACGAGAGGTTAAGCCTGCTGGTCTTGATGACTCACAGTTAACAGTTACAAATGAACTGTGTTTGTAGAGTCTGAGGGACTGGCAGGCATTCATTATGGACAGTGTCCAAGTTTTTTTTAATCTACCACAGAACATTCCTACCATACATTTTTTGTTTCACACATTTTTTAGTAAGCAAAATAATTGTGTATAATTAATGTTTTCTTTGTGATGGAGCCTGCAAATGATTAATAGGGCTTTCTTTTTTTCTCTTTTTTTATTTTTTTGTAGGTGGCAAAACACCGGATCCAGTCATGTTGAAAAATATGAGGACCTATAAGGACATTGTTGAAGAGCAGGTTCTTCAAAGAGATCAGGTTTGGACATACATCTTTTACAATCCCCTATTGTCTCCCAAAATACCATAATTTAACCATGTAGGACTACCATCCTTGTTTACTTCCTGATCTGCACACTATTTACATTTAGATAGTAGTAGTAGTAGTAAATTTATTAAATCTCCAGCCAGTGGCTCTTCCGATTTAATTTACAATAATTGGAAATGGAATAAAAACGACTTATAAAAATTACAATAATATCATGATAAAAAAAAAAAAAAAAAAAAAACTAATTCAAATAAATAAATTAACCTATTCTAAAAAAGCTAAACCTAAAAAATTTACTACGAACTATTATATATTTCGCGCCTTACTGCGCGCTTAAAAGCTGAGAGTGTTGCGCTATTTTTTGTTTCTTCACTTATAAGAGAATTCCAAGCAGTGATTGCTCTGTAACTAAAGGACCTCTGCGCTGTGGCTGTCCTACAAAGCGGTACGACTAAATTGTCCCTAGATCTAGTATTGTAGCTGTGGATAGCTGATCTTTTGTTGACGTAACACTCTAAATATGGTGGTGCAAGGCCATTAACTATTTTGTATAGCATCGCAACATCACGCACTAGTAACTGATTCTTAACAGAAGGCCAACACAATGCACGCAGCACTGGTGAGATGTGATCAAACTTCTTGGTGTTAGTCAACACACGGGCGGCGAAGTTTTGTACGAGTTGCAGTTTGTTTATGTTGTGCACAAACGTTCCAGACCAGACTGTCGAGCAATAAAAAAGTTTACAAAAAACAAGACAGTTCAGAATGGTAGTGAGTACTGATTTAGAAAACAGGTGCCTAACTCTGTTTATCTGGCATAAGATAGAAATAAGAGACGAGGTCAGAGTGTTAACATGTTCATTAAAAGTAAGGTTCGAGTCAAAATTATACCCAGGTCTTTGACTGAGGACACAGGAATTAAATGTTGCCCAAGAAAAGGGACTCTAATGTCAGGTATCTTACTTAAAAGCTGTTTCGTTCCAAAGAGAATAAGTTTAGTTTTGTCTGGATTAATAAGCAACTTATTCGTACAGCACCAAGAGGCAATAAGTCGGAGATCTTCCGAGACGTTTGCAATGCAGGAGTCAATGTTTTCCGATGAACACGAAAGATAAACTTTTGTGTCGTCAACATATGACTCTACACTTGAAAACTTAACAACGGACGGTAGGTCGTTCATGTAGAGACTGAACATAAGAGGTCCTAGGATAGACCCCTGTGGAACGCCATGTGTGACGGTTAACTCAATGGAGCGAGATGTACCAAGTCGTGTCGACTGCATTCGGTTTGTAAGATAACTCTCAAACCAACGTAACGCTTCATTTAAAGATGACTTGTACAGGACTATAAATCTTCTAAGGCTGGTCCAGGCAAGGGTAAATCCGTGAATTTTAATGTAGACAATAGGAGGATGACAACACCAAACAGTTGCTTAAACAATTTCAAGCAAAATTGGCATACCGTAAAATTCTGAAAATAAGCCCCTCCATGTATAAGCCCCTTCAAATATTAGCCCCCCAAACCAGTAACGCAAAAAACCCCCCATTAAATCGCCCCTCCAAATATAAGCCCCCGGGGGTTTGTACTTGGAAAATTGCCCTCAAATACAAAGTAAAACAAAGCGAAAATGGTAAATTACTTCCAGCTGTAAGGCTAGCCCAGTCGATTTTGAAACACAAATTTCCCTCCGTAGATAAGCCCCTCCGAATATAAGCCCCTCCAAAAAAAAGCCCCTCAAAAAGGGCCTTTGAAAAATATAAGTCCCGGGGCTTATTTTCGGAATTTTACATTACTTACCTGGTGCTGCTTTTTTTCTAAGCCTTTCGTGTTCTAATTGGGCATATACTAGAATCTTTTCTATAGGAGTAATAAGTAATTGGGTTAGATATGTCTGCTTTAGAAGTATAGACATTGTCATTTTAACAAACTACCGGTACTTGTTTATTTCAGGCGGAAATTGTCCGTCACCTCAGGGACCAGGCAGCATCTGGAGACTTGCAGAAAAATCAGGCAGCTGCTGCTTCCAAGCCAGGTACTGTTCAGTTAAAAAATGTACATGTTTGAGTCACAAAAGTATGTAGGAATTTTTTAGAAAACAAAATAAAAGTACAAGTCTTCATAAAAATTCTAACGCTGCACAAGGAACACTTTTTTGTTGTTTTCTACTTCATAAGTTGGTATGATACTTGTGATGTTGTACAAATATAGATTTTATAGTTTTCCTTTTTGTTAAACACACTTGCGAGTAAGGTGCATCTTACGGGTATATAAATGCTCCTGAAAGGCTGTGCATTGGAAGTGCCCAGTAGCCCCTTATGACTCACTTTTGTTGGGCAATTGTAAGTAGAAAAGCCCTTTTTTTCCAAAAAAATCATTATATCGTAGACATCTGTAGATCTGGTCAAAGGTAAAAACCAGTTATGACAACCAAAAGTGTATTCATGTTTCAGAGAGGAAACGACGCCGGTGGGATCAGCAGGCATCTGGAGATGAAACACCAGCAAAGAAAAAATCCAGCAGTTGGGATCAAGCTGAGGTAGAAATTATGGTGCTTCTTAGAACCATTTTGTAAATTATTTGTGTATAATCAAGAAAACCACATTGTTTCTTATGGTCAAATAAGAGCAGTTTCAATACTAGTGGAAATACTCCAGTAACAACATTAAAAGCTTTTCTTTGCTGAAGAAGATCTTGTGAAGCTCCAGTACCTTAGCCTTTCTCGGCAAAAACAGTTAACCCAATAATTAAGAATTAATGAGAAACTGGAAACAGGAGTGAACTTTGTTAGTAAGAGCCTTTGAAGTGTTACAGCAAGAAGCAAATAGGGGGAACATGAGCAAGTTCAGTACAATACAATACAATACAATAGTTTATTGACACTCCCCTGGTGGGGCTTTTCAGTGACAATGCGACTAAAAAAAAAAAAACTAATTAAGATAAGAGAAGTAGTTAACAATTTGATTAAAAGAAAAGAATGCGGTGAACAAAGCAATATAAAACATACCTATTTAAGAATTAATCGTATAATAAATATTCTCACTACTTACTATACAATATGCATATTTAAAGTTAAAATAAAATAAGATACTAGTAAGATACTAAAATACTATCATAATGTGCTATTTAAAAAGTCAGTAATCAACTAATTTTCAGACAAAATTTAAAAGTAGAAATCGATTTTGCAGTTTTAAGAGTACTGTCTAGATTGTTCCAAATGTGCACCATGCGGTAGTGGAATGTTCTCTTTCCGGTACTCGACTTATACAAGGGGATGTTTAATAATTGGCAACTTTGAGTCACACGCCCGGTGACCGCAATTCTTGTTGTAAATTGATCGCTGAGGTAATGTGGAGCTTGACCAGTCATGCATTTAAATGCCATGAGAGCGTCGCGGAAGAACAGCTTTTGTTTAATTGGAAACCAACGTAGATCTCTCAGTGACAATTTTATACAGTTGTCTGACAAGAATTCGACAATTAGACTAAGTAGCACTGTTTATCTTTTTTTGCTGGCATTTAGATGTCAACCCCTTCAGCAAGTCGATGGGATGAGACTCCTGGACGGGCCAAAGGATCTGAGACTCCTGGTGTGACCCCTCACAGACCTGGTTCAGAAACCCCAGGGGCCACGCCCAGCACCAGGATATGGGAGGCAACACCCAGTCATGTCACACCAGGCCATGCTACACCCAGCGCTACACCAGGAAATACTACACCAGGTAAATCCTTGATAAATTTGCCGCAAGAGCAGTAATGCTTAGGGCATGTTTGTTTAACAGTATTCCAGAATAAGAATGAATAGAATAAACTCTAGGAATCTTTCGGTCAAGCGAATTTTAACCTACCATTCATTTGTTGGCTGACAGTTCATGAAATGAGAAAAAACATTTGTCCTAGAAATTGAAATCACATGCATGCATGTCATAGTTACATCATTGATAATAATTATAGCTGCTGCATTCCAGTGGTCCAAAAATCCCAGGAAAAGAGTGTTGTTAGAAATTTTTGGTGTATTCTTATTGTGGAATACAGACGATCAAATTCACCCTTAGCATTTCTGAAATATGAGATTGCAACATTTTATTTCATTTTACCCATCAATTACCTGATATCACTGAGATATTCATTTTATCCACTTTGGACAACTTCCTGTAGACCCCTCTGCTGAAAGGCTACTGCTTGTCAGATCGATTTTTTTCACTTATCCTCACTTAGCGATTGTCATTGACGGGTCACATTAGTGAGGAAAAATGTGTAGAAAGTAAAGACTGTAAACTTCAAAAGCAGGTTGTTGGTCATAACAACAGGGTCTAGTGTTGATGAGATAGTGACTGTACTTTTTTTCAGGCTAAAATAGTGGTTGTAACCTTAGGGTGATTGTGTGGGTTTCATCTGTAGATAAGAAAGTAACATAACACATGTACTTTGATATTTGCTATTTACAAAATATAAGTACCATGTGTATGATGTATTTTCTTTTCCTACACTCAGGTATTTCATCAACCAGGAGGAATCGCTGGGATGAGACCCCAAAGACAGAGAGAGGTTTGTTTTCTCCAGCACATGATGAAAAAATTGATAGCTTTTCTTTTTTTAATGACAAACTAATGCTCTTTTTTAACACAGGTGAGACTCCAGGTCACTCAACTCCAGGCCATGCCACCCCAGGCTGGGCAGAGACCCCAAGAACAGATCGCACTGGAGCTGAAACACCTGGTGCCACACCCACTCCAGGTAGTAAGCGAAGGTCCAGATGGGATGAAACACCAGCCAGTCAAATGGGTGGTACTACCCCCATGATTGGCACAAGTGGGGTCACTCCTGCTGGAGCTGCTGCTATGCAGATGCAGACGCCTACCCCAGGACAAATGGCCATGACACCAGAACAGATGCAAGCATATCGCTGGGAAAGAGAAATTGATGAACGCAACAGATACCTCTCTGATGAGGAACTTGATTCACTTTTCCCCAAGGAGGGATATAAGGTTCTATTTATCTTTCTTTTTTCACATTAAAAGCTGCTGTATCTGATGTAAGGAAGGGTTTGACCATACATTTTATTTGCTGGATCTCCTTAGAAAGTTTAATTTTTGCATACATTTTCCTGATTCTCCTAGCATAAGGTTTTGCCACTGGTCACTTTTTTACAAGTCATTGTCAAATCTAGAGAAAGGACTTAAATGGTAATAGCTGTAAGGCAGCTTCAGTGTTTTTACAGAGCCCATTTTGTAGGATGATTCTTGTGTAATGTTTTATTGATCAGAGTGACTATTCTGCCAATACTGTGGCAAATATTTTCATACTGAAGTTAACAAATGGTGTGCAAAGTATTCACTCATGTTCTAAGATATTAAATCAAAAACATCTTACATTATCTTTCAATTCGACGTCACTAGAAATTAAGCAAGCTTGGCATTTACATTTTCTAATGTGATGTTCTGTTTTTAGATTCTTGAGCCACCACCAGGTTATCAGCCAATCAGAACGCCAACACGAAAGCTGACAGCCACACCCACTCCTATAGGGGGCTCTGGGTTCTACATCCAGGTAAAACAAACTTGCTTAACTTTATCCGTTCTCTCAATAATCACTGTAATATTTGACCATGTTATTTATTTTAATTGCAGCAAGAAGACAGATCAGCCAAACTGGTTGAAGACCAGCCTCCTGGCAATCTGCCATACTTGAAGCCTGATGATGTGCAATACTTTGACAAACTGTTGGTAAGTTCAAAATCCTTTGAAGCTCTAAATTGTAAAACAGTCCGAATGATTGTTTTATTACTTCTTGTAGTTTTTACTGTAGCATAGCATCATTTACTTCTTTAGAGAAAGACACAAAGTTGCGTCATGGGTATGATAAGGAATTATTGCCAAAGTTCCAACTGTGCAATGAAAAAATGTCGTAAAAAGATTCTGTATATTCGACAAGTAAAAAGTTCAGTTGTATTGGTAATGTTTTTTGGAATATAAGTATGTGATAAAAGTGTTCCATGGTTCAGTTGGATTGGTAATATTATTTTTATTTTGGAACATAAGTGCATTCCATGTAAACCGAGGGCTGTCTTTAAGAGCCGGGGGCCGGGTATTTGTGCCGGCTCCTATGAGTGTGGCCCCTGGTTACCTTCATTGGAAGATAGAAGAAAAATAGAACCACAAGAAATCTCCAGTCGTTTGATTCCCTGCCTAGTTGTTATATTTACCGCGCAACTTGAAATCTTAGTGACAACCCTGAAACCATTAGCTTGGTTTACTTTAATTTCTTGTGTGTAAATTCACAGGTGGATGTGGATGAGAGCACTTTAAGTGCAGAGGAGCTGAAGGAGAGAAAGATCATGAAGCTGTTATTGAAAATCAAGAATGGTACTCCACCCATGAGAAAGGCAGCCCTGCGGCAGATTACTGATAAGGCTCGTGAGTTTGGTGCTGGGCCTTTGTTTAACCAAATCCTTCCTCTGTTGATGTCACCTACATTGGAAGATCAAGTGAGTCATCTGAGTAGCATAAATTATGTCAAGTTGTATTTTAATTTGCCTCATTTTTTTTTGTGAAAATTGTGATGGTACACTGTATGCTCATTGGTGGACAACATTGGTCCTATGAATAACAGTTACTGTACTTTCTTCTGTTACGGCCCTGAATAATGCAAAATGAGTTTTGGGCAGACGTTTATCTTGTTCATGTCATTGGTCTCTAATTCAATTGTTATACTTTTGTATTAATTTTATGGTAATGTTCAATATTCTCTTTTGTAGGAGCGTCACTTGTTGGTAAAAGTCATTGACCGAATTTTGTACAAGCTTGACGATCTTGTCCGGCCATTTGTTCACAAGGTAAGCTGCTAGTTAACCTCATCAAAATCTCAAATATTATTAAGTAAACATGTATGGTTATCAATAATTTTCAGCTTGGCTCAAAGTTTGTTTGGTTTTACTGAAGTCCGATCTAATATCACACTCACATGGTCTCCGCAATGTTATGTACTTCTTCATTCTTGTACAAATTGTTAGGTAGATATATAATACGATTTTATTAATGAAATGGTCTCTTTTCAGATCCTTGTGGTTATTGAACCTCTGTTGATTGATGAAGACTACTATGCAAGAGTGGAGGGGCGTGAAATCATTTCCAACTTGGCCAAGGTTAGTGTTTGCTTGCCCTGATTCAGTGCTGACATAACAATCAAGTGTTAAAATGAACCATTGGCTTATAATATTGCACTGTAATTTCTCTTGTGTACAGACACTACATCTGAAAAGGCTAATCCTGATTATTAGTCCTAGGAGGATTAAGGTCATCATCAGTCTAAACACTCGGTGATATTAAACTTCTGTTGATAAACTTTACACCAGTTTTCATTGTCATTCAAAGATGTCAAAAATGCTCATTATTTTACTTTCCCAGACGATCATGTTGAACTGACATATATGAACTGTGTACCATAGTCCCTATTTGTTCAAATGTAGATATTGCTATCCACTAGATAAATCTCTTTCCATTAGTGCAATTTAAAATTTTGTTAATTCACATCCACTGGATTTTTTTGACGGAGAGTGCCATCAGACTTTTTAACACCCAGGGGCAGGATTCAAACCATTTTATTTTATTGATTTGAAATCTGTATCTTCCTTTAGGCTGCTGGTTTGGCTACAATGATCTCCACCATGAGACCTGATATTGACAACATTGATGAGTATGTCCGTAACACCACTGCAAGGTACATTTTTTTGTTACTGTTGCAAAATAATCAGTTTTAAGTCACTCCAAGTTGCGACCATTTTGGTCACCATGGTGCCTAAAATTTTGGAGCTGGCGACTTGATTTGCAGTATAGTCTCCCCAAATCAAAAGATTTGCTTTCAAATGGTGACCAAGCAAAAACTCGGAAGGTTGGTCAGTTATATAGAACCTAATGTTAGGCTTAACTGCTAACATCTTGCAATATAATACAGTTTGACTGGTCTGCACACCAGACATTAGTTTTTACATCCACCTTAAAGATTTATGAAACTGTCACTTGAACATCTAGGTGAAAAAGGTTTCCTCCCAATTTTTTATATAAATACTTGTCTACCTACAGCTGTACATGTAGCATTTTCCTTGGAATAGACCAGTTTGCTAATAAATTTGCTTATCCAGCTTTTTCAAAAGTATTATCTCCATAATCAAAATAAAGTTGATTGCTGGGGTAAAATCAATTTTCTGGGTACCAGCCCAAAATTGTTTTCATATCTGACCTGCAACTCACCATTTTCTGTACCGTTTTGTTTCTTACAGAGCTTTTGCTGTTGTAGCATCTGCTCTGGGTATTCCTTCCCTACTACCTTTCTTAAAAGCTGTGTGTCGCAGTAAGAAGTCATGGCAAGCCCGTCACACAGGCATCAAAATTGTCCAGCAGATTGCTATTCTGATGGGTTGTGCTATCTTGCCACACTTGCGAAATCTAGTGGAGATTATTGAACATGGTAAGGCTATTGCATAATTAAAAACAATTTTAATAGAGAGGTTTAACATCACATTTACATCAAATGGCAAATGCAGATTTGTACCACATGTACTTCTTGTGTACCGTTCATTATTTCTGAACATAAATAATTAGTAGTTTCACGCAATTTTTTATCCATAAGAATTGTTTTGAGCTGTTTTTATCTGGTCATTTCCTGTTTTGAGAAATTCTCAACTTGAATCTGATGTTTGACATTTGCTGTTTGCCATATATGTGAAGCTTAAACTCTCTTATGGCTTGGACGTTTTAAAAACTCCCTTGAAAAGAAAATGGCAGAGTCAAATGAGTGCATTTCTTTGTTATCCATTTTTCTGCAAGTGATAATTGGTTAATCATATATGTTGGAGAGTAAGAAATGTCAAAACCTTTGCATCACATCATTTTCCCATTCAAGATGACCATTAAGGCAGTTGATCTTTAAAAATAATTCTGAAATTGTTTATGTAATACTGGTGTTATGGTTTTTTTTTTTCATGCTTAACAGTGGTTTTGGGATCTCTTGTCAGTAATGATAAGGGCTGTGTCTGTAACAGATCATTCTGCAGAAAAGTAAATACATTTATTCCCAACCATTGTTTTTTGTCTTTGTAGGCTTGGTTGATGAACAACAGAAGGTGCGAACCATCACAGCTCTTGCCTTGGCAGCTCTTGCTGAAGCTGCCACACCTTACGGTATTGAGTCTTTTGACAGTGTCCTGAAGCCACTTTGGAAGGGTATCAGACAACACAGGGGAAAGGTGAGATTAAGGACTTATCCTGTTTTCTTGTTAGGAATGCCATAACTGTACGCTTTCACCCAATTAATCCCATTCCTAATTCTCTTCCAAAATGATGATTTTTCTGGACTTCTACTTGGAGTTTGACTTTTGCAAGAGACCACCTCCCTTAAGTAACCAGTAACTCTTCACATATTAGGTGCTAGCTTGTGGGAGGTTTCAATGTATCTTTTAGGCTAGATAAAAAAAGACTTTTAAATCTCAATAGTGCAACCTTTGGCCCCTTGAGCTTCCTGATTCGTGAGGAAAATAAAAAAAATTATGTTTATAAAAAAGCCATTGAAAAAGACCCTGCATCCTTTGATTTTGTGTAAGTCATCACTAGATATCCTGTGGTGGAAAGAGTACCTGGCCATCTGTGACTACCACCTGGCCACTGCAGAAATAGTTCCATGCATTAAAATCCATGACATGAACAAAATATACTGTACCGTGAAAATGCGGGTTTTGAATGGTCTCATTGTAGAGTTTGTCTGCTGAGTGAAAGGAAAACTGAATGGAAACAAAAGAATCTTCTTAAGTGTTTGGGTTTGAATCTAACATGCTGCCTTTTTGTTTTTCAGGGTCTTGCTGCTTTTCTCAAAGCCATTGGGTACCTGATCCCTCTTATGGATGCAGAGTATGCCAACTACTACACCAGAGAAGTGATGTTGATCTTGATTCGTGAGTTTCAGAGTCCTGATGAAGAAATGAAGAAGATTGTGTTGAAGGTTAGTCTGAGATAGCACCTTATGAAGATTTCTTAAGATTAGCACAATTATTTCAGTCATTGCTAGGAAAATCCATTTGTTATGTCTTGATTTAAATTTGACTGTTTTGTAGCGTGTTGTGTTTTTCTTTGTAAATACCTTGAAATAGATAATGGCTATCCAGAAATTAAAATGCACCACAGTAGTCAAAGCAGTTAAAAGAACGTTTTACTCATTTGACAGGAATTTATAGATGCAGCCAATTATTGATTAATTTTGTATTGTGTAGTTCCAGAAAATATCCAGACCCCCACCACGGAGGGAATTGGAAATTCCAGGGGGGTGGGGGGGTCAGAGGCCCAGGAAATTCCAGAAGGGAGGGGGGTTGGACCATAAAATCACTTTCCAGGGGGGCAATATCATTTTGTTTTCGACCTGAGATCGAACATTGCTTCTTACCGACCTGATAGATCATTTTTAGGACGTAAATAACTTGACATATATCACTTAAGATTGTTCCTTTTTTATCTTAACCAGGTTTCCTTTCTTCCAAAAGCGTTTTGGATGTAATTTCAAAGGAATTAGACCGACTACAATTCGTTTTATCGCATGCTCGTATATTTGGCCGCCATTACTCGTTACCAGTCTTCCCCAAAACATCAACGCATGTAACACATCACGCAACCAACACGTTGCGTCAGTCGATCGATAGATCAGAAGAGTGGCTATTTTGCCTCACGAAGCACAAGCTATACGTTGTAACCATTTTAGAATGAAGAGTTTTTATTCTCCTTTTCATTTTCCCTTAATTTTGTGGTTGAACGTGTGGCATGTTCTTGATCGAATTCTCGCTGAAATGGTGTTGATTTCACCAAACATTTATACGGCCATCGCGCATCACGTCGCATCAGTCGATCGAAAAACAGTAAATTGGACTTGGTTTCCCTTCAAGTATCTTCAAGATGCAGGGGGTATTCATTGTTATCATTTCAGAATTCAGAGTTTTTATTCTCCTCTCTGCTTTGCATTAATTTTGTGGTCGTAAGTTTGACTTGTTCTGCATTCCCGCACGAAATGGCGTTAATTCTATCAACATTACGCCCATGAGACGAATAACAAATCTAAGCTTGCCCTGATTAAGGTAAATTCACAAATATAACCGACTTATTCACTTTCTCTGTTTCATTTAAAGTAAGAGATGAGCAAAAATTACAGATCAGGTTACTTTGTGCTGGTGTAGTGTGTTTTAATGTTGCAAGATCACTCAAATAAATGGAAACAGAAGCATGCAAGCTTCTCATGAAACCGTTGGGTACTAACCATACGTTGCCTCATTCTTCTAGTTTAATAGTCTTTCTTCGTGAAAATGAACTTTTCCAGAGGGGTTGGGGGGTCTTTGTCACACTTGTGGAAATTCCGAAGGGGTGGGGGGTCATCAGTTCCCTGCAAAAATGGAAAATCCAGGGAGGTGGGGGGGTCCTAAGTGAAATTCCCTCCGTGGTGGGGGTCTGGATATTTTCTGGAACTACACATTCTATAAAATAAAATTCATGCTCACAAAATACATTCAGGTGACATTGTCTTCTAGTAACAATAATTTCAGGGATCTCTCTAGAACATAATTATAAGGGATCATTTTTTACAATCCCTTCTTTGGATGTCAGACCACTCATGTACAAGTCTTATTTACTTTATTGATTGACAGGTGGTGAAGCAGTGTTGTGCTACAGATGGTGTTGAAGCTCAGTACATCAAAGATGAAATTTTACCAGATTTTTTCAAACATTTCTGGCAGCATAGGATGGCACTTGACAGAAGAAATTACAGACAGGTATGTACTATTTAATTATGTGAAAACAGCTGTTGCATTTATTTCCTGCATCTGAAGCAAGGCTTTTAACTAAGGCAAGCATTCATGCTGATTAAAAAAACTGTGGCGAAGAGGAATTTAAGTCACAGCAAATAACAATACAACTGTGAAAATGCTGCGTAGTGAAATACTTGCTTTATTACCTGGTTTTGAATAGTATTGACTGCTCCAATAACTTTGTCTAGTTTATCTACTGCTTAATAGTGCTAGTGAACACAGGTAATTACTGAGTGTTAATGTTATTTTTGGCAGCTTGTTGATACCACAGTAGAACTGGCAAACAAAGTTGGAGCATCAGAGATCATTAACAGAATTGTGGACGACTTGAAGGATGAAAATGAACAGTACAGAAAAATGGTCATGGAAACCATTGAAAAGGTAACAATCCTTTCCAAAATACAGCCTTCATTGTACATTTTCAATATTAGGTAGTCATTTAATTGAGGTGCCAGTAATATATTTTATACTTTGTGATTTTCCTCTACTGACCTGATTTACTGATATCTGATATCTTTACAGACCATGGGTAACCTTGGCTCATCCGATGTTGATTCACGTCTAGAAGAACAGCTTATTGATGGCATCCTGTATGCCTTCCAGGAACAGACACAAGAGGTAACAGGTTCTCTTTCTTGGGGGCCAGCTCCCTGTTAGTTACATAAGAATTTTTCCTACTTGACATCAACTGTGTCTAATGTATGCCCCCTTTGGTGTATTTCCCTTTGCTGTTTATGGGTCAAGGACCAGATCAGACATAGGGGTTGGGCATAAACATAGGGTTGACTTTTCAAGACAAAAAGTCAACAGACATATTAGAGACCCTAAAATTAAGGTTTTTTGACATTTGCCGTGAACCATAAATGTCAAGAAGTCACATGACCAGGGCTTTGCCATCAGGTTTGCCGTTTGAGGTTCATGTTTGTACGGCTAGATCATGCTCCAGAGGTAAGTGATTTAACTCAAGGTTTTTTGCACCCTAAGACATCACAATCCCACGTTTGAGAAGAAATACAACTATATAGAACTCTTTTGCTTATCGATTATCGAATTCTATTAAAAAAACAAAATTTTGAAGACAATTTCTCAGCTAAAATAGAAGTAAGTGGATGAATGAAAACAAACGTGGCAGCCGCAAGCTACCACCCGCAAATCTTAAGTCCCAAATATGGGCAGATGGATAACGTGGAACGGATAACCGCCAACCGCAAACTGCAGTTGGTTGTTTGCAGTAAAATGACCAAACCTCAATCTTAAGGTCTCCATTCTCCAAACTGTCCTTCCTATCCTCTCCATAGTACTGAAGAGGAGAATTTGTTTAGGAATCAAGACATAAGTCTCCAAGCCCTTTTCTATTGATTTTATGCTACAACTGTCAATACTTTGACTAGAAATCTAGAAATTTTAGTTATTTATTTGTTTATTGATGCGTGTTTGTACTCTCAGGATATTGTTATGCTGAATGGTTTTGGTACAGTGGTGAATGCACTGGGCAAGCGTGTGAAGCCATATTTACCACAGATCTGTGGTACCATTCTTTGGAGATTGAACAACAAGTCAGCTAAAGTCAGACAACAGGCTGCTGATCTCATCTCCAGGATTGCTCAGGTCATGATGACCTGTGGGGAGGTGAGTATCCAACTCTCACATACACAATCAGCATCACTTCTCATAAGTGACCTCCTGCCGTAAGTGACCACTTTGTAAATAATCATTTTGCATTTCAGTCAAATACCGTTTCAAAAACTCTCTTGTAAGCCCCCACTACTGAAATTTTTTAAACGACCACAAGGACTTGTTAGGCCTCAAATTTGACATATTCTTTTGTTTTCTGTTTGTGGTAAGCATCCAACCCGCATGATCACGTATGATTGTAAGAAAACCATTGCCTGAACGTGCACAAAAGTTCAGATTTTAATAGTGCAAACCAAGCATGCTGTCAGATCATAGCAGTTGCCTTCCTATAAGTGACCATTTTTGTGTGCACTAAGGGTGGTCACTTACAAGAAGGCTGACTGTTGGAAAATTAGATGTTATAATGAAGTTAAATAAATATTTATTTAACACAGTTAACAACAAGGAGCGCAGGCGTGGTCAGCGGTCAGTCGTTTGGCTCAAGCGTGGTCAGCCTTGCTTGCATCACCTCCCTCACAGCGTTTTCCTGGAGGCCACTCTCTTCGTCTAGCCTTTGGATCATTCTTTTACCCCCATCTCTCCCCCCCCCCTTTATTCTTCCACTGTTAAATCAGAGTGACAGGTTCCTGGCTCCATTGGCGTGGGGCTCATGGTTGGAGGGTGCAAGTTTGCCAGCCGTGGGGGCATAACTCTGTCTAGGGCCTGGCTGTGCCAAAGGTGGAAGCCTCTGGACATCCCGGCACTCACCTCCACTAAGCGACACAGTTGTTAACTTAGAATAAAACTTATACAAGGGTCAGAAGACAGACTCTTTGAGGGTGCTAGAGAACCTCTTGAGCAATTGATCATCCATAATAGCTGACAAAAAAATTTTGTCTTATGTAGAAATATCAAGTGTAGCAATTTTACTAATATTCTGAATTGTTTTTACTATAAACAGGAAAAATTGATGGGTCACTTGGGTGTAGTGTTGTATGAGTACCTTGGAGAAGAGTACCCTGAAGTGCTAGGAAGTATTCTGGGTGCACTCAAGGTAAGAAGGGATGGCAGTTATATTCATTGTGAGTGGTTTTCATTAAAAAACTTAATATTATTGGGTTTGCAAGAATTAGCAATAGCCATTATTTCCTTAGCTTCATCTTACACTTGGACTGAGCATCTTCTCTGTTATCTAGACAACTGAAAATTGGCTATATCTTTGTCGTGTCTCACTATTTTTCAGATAGTCTCTTAGTGTCCAGATGTCAGGTGAAACATTCTTCCCTAACCCTCCTACACCCATTTTAAAAAAGGGTCGTTGAAACCCTTTCAAAATTACTGTTTTTTGGCTTGAAGTAATATACCAAGCATGAGACGCAGATGAAACGCTGAGAAGAGAGTTGAAGATATGACACGCAGTGGAGTATTTTGACGAACTTGGAGGTGTTTCATCTGGTGGTGAATCACTGTGTCGAATACTTGATATTACTTCTCAAGCAAAATGATTTAACAAGGAGAAATTAAGGATGCAAAAATGAGCGGTTTTTTATCTGATTTCCAAACACTCCTTTTCCTTTGTATTTTCTTTATGAATTATTGATGAGTTTGAGAAGAACTGTTGAAACCTTTGTGGAGTGAATGATGGAGCTATCTATTGCATTTCCACCTTTTGAAGCCTGTCATGTAACCATCTATATGAAACGTCTTTGCATTGGCAGTGCTTTGACCGCGCGTTTTTTTTTTCAGTATTTTAAAAAATTAAATTCTAAGTTTTTGTTGAATGTTGACTTAGCCCCTCCTTGGATTGTATAGGTTAAATTGTTATCGTAATGTTAGTAATCAGATAATAAGCAAAAAGTAATTGTTTTTCTCATTTGTTTTCAGGCAATTGTTAATGTGATTGGAATGAACAAAATGACTCCACCCATCAAGGACTTGCTCCCAAGATTAACACCCATTCTGAAGAACAGGTAAAGTACTCATCCTTTCTGCTGTAAAATTGGTCGTTACTTAAACAATCTTGTATGAAGAAGTCAGCCTCACTATCAATTGGTGTCAAAAACCTCGCACGCTAGAATAAGAATTCAGAAGTCAGTAATGGGAAAGGTGTAAGGATAGGCAACACCTTTGAGAAGAGAACCTCACTGAGAGATGAGCAGAGAGAGGATCATAATACGTTTCTGGGAAACTGCCTACCTACCCCTTAAGCCAAATTTTGCCCTAAGTCAGAAGTAAGTGTCAATGTCTTTGCATAGGGCGGCATTTAAAGGGACCGTGACTTCACAGCTGGCTGGTTCATTTTGTTTGTAATGTCAGTGACGTGTGCTTTTTCGCTATGGAACTTGCGAAATTACTTTTGTGAATGACAAATCACAGTTTCCTTTCAAGCTAATATGTCTTCAGTGGATCATATCAAACGTTACAAACGAGTGTTCAAAAATTAGTATTGCAGTTCAAGTTTGTCCATTCGTGCCTCTTTTTGTATTTGCTGTGTTACTTATACCGTCTTTTTTTTTAGCCTCACTTAATTTGGTGGCAGTTTTTGATAAATTCCGTGACATAGCTCCTTTAATTATCACAGGAGTATCAGTCAAGTTACTATACGTTTCTTAGTATTTCACAAAACAGGATTTGGCTTTTTTTTCAGTTGAATTTTTGCAACTTGAGAGCTGATCCTTTAAAGCTTCTTTTTTCAGGCACGAGAAGGTACAAGAGAACTGTATTGACCTTGTGGGTAGAATAGCTGACAGAGGAGCCGAACATGTTGGGGCTCGTGAATGGATGAGAATTTGCTTTGAACTGCTGGAGCTGCTGAAGGCGCACAAGAAAGCAATCAGAAGAGCTACTGTGAACACGTTTGGTTACATTGCCAAAGCAATTGGGTATGTTACACTTGAATTATGTTCTTGTACAATAATATTAATCAAAGCGTTTGTTGTTGATACAGTAGAAGCTCTTCTAACGGACACTCTCGTAAGCGGACAGCTCTACGTACGACCGCCTTCATGAAACCCCGTTTTCTCAACTCTCATACAAACTCTGTATTTTACATTCAGGTAAGCGTCAGCTCCAGTTGTGGACACCTTGTCTGCGTCCCGATGGTGTCCTCTTACGAGAGCTTCCACTGTATTTTAGTCTTTTTTTTCCAGTGGGCAAAAGCCCAAATTGATAATCTTCCGTCTTCTTGAACTACGAAGCAAGTCATATGGAACCATTTGTTCGTATCATATTATGCCGGTTTGACTTGCTTAGCAGAAAATTTGATGCAAACAATGGATAAACAGTCTGCACATGCTATAAAGCAAAAGAGCTAATTTCAAGAGGTTTTTCGCTGGACTTATCCACATACAAATTCTCTACGCTGGTCTCTATACATTTCCATGAAGAATAAGTTGAGAGAATTTGATAAAAGATCAAGCATTTTGTCTTACGTGATTATTTAATTAATTCCCGCAACCTTTTCTCTTGAATGTGTCTTGATATTGTTTATCACTCTTGCGATTTGACGAATTAATTCAATGCAACTTGTTGTAACACGACCACGTAATGGCATATCAATGTTTGTACTGTTAAGTCCCCAGGATGTGCTTGCCACTCTACTCAACAATCTAAAAGTACAAGAGCGTCAAAACAGAGTGTGTACCACTGTTGCCATAGCCATCGTTGCAGAGACTTGTTCACCCTTCACCGTGCTACCTGCTCTGATGAATGAGTATCGTGTGCCAGAGTTGAATGTACAGAACGGTGTGCTGAAGTCCTTGTCTTTCTTGTTCGAGTACATTGGAGAAATGGGTAAAGATTACATCTATGCTGTCACGCCTTTGTTGGAGGACGCACTTATGGACAGGTATGAGCTTTGTAATCGCGTGAGTGACCGATGAGGCCCGTTGCGTTACTTTCTTCAGCCGAGACTTATGTTATAAATGGGTAAAGACAGAAGTATATAACCCTGTTAAAGATTCCATCTATACTGTCACGCCTTTGGTGGAAGGTGTTCCTATGGACAGGCTAATAAGGGTTGTTGTGTCACGTACTCGCTTCATCCGAGATTGGTGAAAATACAGAAAGGAGTGCGATGGCTTGCGCATATCTTAGCCTCCTTAGCAAGCGTTTCTAATCTAATTTTTGCCCGATAGATTTTTATCGAGAGCAAAATTTTTTTCTTGCTTCCTAACTTTCTCGACGAACTCGCGCGGAAACGCTTGTTACGCAGGCTACGCGGATCCAAAAACAAAATACAGTGGAACGTCGATATATCGAACGGAAGGGCAGTGGGACTAGCAGAATATATTCGCTACAGCGAGGTTTCGTTATATTGAGGTTCTTTTCCACAGTTTTTAGCATTACTGGATCGTTTAATATCGTTCGTCTCACCAAGGACTTCGTTATTTAGAGGTTCGTTATGACAGAACGGCAAGCCTTGTCCAGTCCTTTCCGCGCGCTTCTGCGCTCTCATTTGACGCTACGTCATCGTCTTCTCTAAATCTACACAATACTACCAACTTGAAAGTGTTTCAATTTGACTAAGTACAGGCAAACCCCGCTGATACGGACACTGAGGGAGCATAGAAAGTGTCCGTATTAACGGGGTGTTCGTATTAAGTGGGTTGAATTTAGAGAAAATGTGAGGGTTTTTTTTCCCCAGGGACAAAGCAAACCGTCCGTATTAAAGAATTGTCCTTATAAAGCGGGGTTTGACTGTAGCAATTGATAATTTGTATGACTGAGACATTTTGACTGCGATTTGCTAACCCAGCGTGTACGTTGTTATCTCCTGCAGGGATTTAGTTCATCGACAGACCGCCTGTGCAGCTATAAAACACATGGCCCTGGGTGTGTCAGGCTTCGGCTGTGAAGATGCACTCACTCACCTCATCAACTATGTGTGGCCCAACATCTTTGAAACGTCGCCTCATGTTATCAACGCTGTTATGGAGTCTATTGAAGGCATGAGAGTAGCATTAGGACCATCCAGAGTTCTTCACTACTGTTTACAGGTTAGTTATTGGAGACTTTCACCATCAGGATTTTCACGGTTAACGGCAAACCTGAGTATTCAGTTCAACACGAACTGTCTTTACTGAATTCAGTGTTTCTTTTTTTTACGATTTTAGGGAATGTTTCACCCGGCGCGAAAAGTTCGAGATGTCTACTGGAAGATCTACAACAGCTTATACATTGGATCTCAGGTAAAACTCCTAAAGAGTTTAAACAATGCTCCCAAATATTGTGATTCTACTTTGTGAATTAAGAACTGAATATTTTAGGATAGCGGTGCTTGTATAGAACTGTCACTGATCTCGTCTTTGAGCTTATTCTCGGTGTACGAACCAGTAACCAAAGTAAAACTTACTAAAAAAGAAAAGCTATCCCCGCCGCCATGGACGTTTTAGCTGTGTAGTTACAATTCTTTTATTAACCATCATTTTATTTTGGTCTTTTAGGATTCGCTTGTGGCAGCATACCCGACTGCACCCAGTGATGAGAAGAACAACTTCGCTCGAGCAGAACTCTCGTATTTCTTGTGATCTCTTTTCTTGGCTTGTCAATATTCTGTTCAGTAATTTATTCTTTGTAACCAGTGGCAAAAACGTGGTATTTTGTAAATAGAAAGACAAAAACTGTTTAAGTAACTGATATAGTTTTACAATACTCAGGTTTGTGGCTTTGAAGTTAACGCTTCTCCCAATGGCTCTTCAGAATTAGCTGCTCAGTTAGTAACAGTTGCTGGCAAGTTATTTTTCAATCAGTCGGCTCGTAGACAAAATAATTCAAACTCTATTTAATTTTTTCATGCATCCACCATTTGTAATCTGGAAATGCACTTGGCAGCCAGGTTGTCATTTCTTTTGGAGATTCTCAGAGACGAACGGATATGTAGAGTTGGTCTCCGCCGTTCTTAGGTTTGTTCAACCCGTTAAACCCGAATATCAAAATTGAGATTCTCATTTACTGTCCCTATACTTTTTCAAAAGAAGTAGTGACGAGAATTTGTTGAAATAACAATTAGACTTATCTGTCATGATCATGTGCTCAATTCTCTTGCCCTTTTTGTTTTCTAACTGAAGGCATCGATATTATAAGGAGAAATTTCATGCTGATCACTCTTAGGGCTTAAAGGGTTAATTCGAGTCTCTGTTTGGTGAGCTCTTGTCTAAGCAAGAAGACTTGTTGCTGGTACAGGGGGCTATGACTGTAGTAGTCACACTAAATATTAGAGGGTGATCAAGTAGAATTTATTCTTTGTTCCTATGAGACTCTCCTTTTGAACCGTTTTGCTGAAGGACGTTGGCTATAAATTGTTTGAGATCACACTAAAGGTACTACCATTCAAGTGAACCACACGTGAAGTATAAGAGATTGTTTTCCCAAAATAAAAAAAAAATGTATTTTAGGAACAGTGAATTTCAGCCGCTGTTAATTGTAGGGGTTTCATTGCGAAGAAACCTTGTGCTCGCCTTTTTAACAGCGATTTTGAGTGTACCTTCTCGCTGGAGTAGTTATGAAATCGTGTTAGAGGCATATAATCTAATAAAACTAGTAATAAAGACTTTAAATCATGTTCCTTTTTGTCGTTCCGTACTGGAAACTTTACTGGTCTCGTTTTCAGTGACCCCTCTCCCCTTACGGTTACCTCGTTATTACGGCCACTTTATTTTGGCCACTTGGCAAAACGGGTCATGTAGCAGTTCAATGGCCATACATTTTCTTGTAAAAAAAAAACCCTCGTTAATACGGTCACCGGTTAATACGGCCAAATGTTTTTGGACCATTGGCGCTGTACTTGCAATACATACTAAGCCCAAACACTCGCACACAAAGCTAAATACGATGTGGGAGGATTCGCTAGTCTGTGTACCAGGAAAGGATTTTCCCCATCGCTACGGGGAGTAAGTTGGAGGGAGATCTTCCAGTGAGCGTGTCGTAGCCTGTTCCAGGCTCCGAGTTAGTCGGGTCCGTTGAATTGAGAAAGCGCAAACTCGAAAATTAAACGGGAGGACACTCTCCTTTTCTCGTACCTTCCACTTTCGCGTATTCCCCTCCATCTAAGAGCCTGAAACAAGGAACAAGGTCTGTGGTTATGCCCTTTATTCTTCCAGGCTACGCTGAAATTGGAGGGGCGTGTGCTTTCCTAGTGAGAAAAGTGTATGTCTTTCAGTCTTGCTTTCGGGTTCTTTGTTTTTTCAAACCTTATTTGGCCTTTGCGCGTACTTTTGGGCAGCACCTGTCGAACTGATTGTTAACTCCTGCAGTTGGGCCCAGTTGATCGAAGGACGATTAGCTCTAACCCGGGGTTAAATTGAAATCCGGAATCCTATTACTTTCGTTTGAAGTATTTTCCCGGATAATGTTCCCTAATCTTTTTAGAGCATAACGTCACCAAAATGCAGACCAAAAGAATTAAACTGAATTTGCTTCTTAAACATTTATTTCTGAATTCAAAATTCTTACTAACGCTGGGTTATCTTAACCCCGCTTTGAACCGAACAACAGGGGGCACTTGGGCATTTTTTGGGTGGGTATCTGCCGCCCAGGACTCCAAATTGGCACCCTGTTCTGAAAAAAAATCCCTAAAATTGATACCCCGTTCTAGAATTCGCCCTAAAACTGATACCCCGTTCTAGAAATGGGCCAATTTTTTATACTCCGTTCTAGGGTGCAACAAGAGTATAACAGTTTGCTTCAGTAACGCATTGAGCCGTATTTTTAAAAGCAATCTGTCCTTGAATAATTTCAAATGGTTGCTTACAAAACTGGAGCTGTCATAAGTTCGAAATATTATACCCCGTTCTAGAAAACGTCTCTGAAATGGATACCCCTTTCTAAACCAGGAGCTTTAAAATCACGACCCCGTTGAGCGGCAGATACCCGTATAAGTAATGTATGGGAGTACCCCCCCGGGGAACCGAACAACCCGGCCACTGCTGTCAATATTGCGTTTTTTAGCTGGACCTATCCCTGTAGTGTCAGTTAGTAAAGAAAAGTTGTCCCTCAAAAGGCAATGTCTGAATGCCTTGTAATAGGAAGTAAGCAACCCCGTTGAGCCGGGCTGGCCCGTTTTACCGCTTTCTCATCAACGGCATATCTTACAATTATTAAAACAACGGCATGATGCATGTCTTCGTTTAGCCTGCGTCGCGGTTTCTCGCTCCTCACCCGCCTTTATTACGTTGCGCGCCCAAAAACCGCCATGCTACGCAGGCTCACCGAGGCGGGTCAGATGACACTCCTGCACTGAAGGATTCTGGTAATAAAGTGACGTCATCGTGATATCTGATATGACAGGTTTTGGGGATGGTATCGGAATCTGGAAAATGAATGGCGGGCGGCGGTTGTGGTAAGAAAGTTCTACATCTCCTTTCCTATGAAATTATCTCTCGGTCCTTTCCACTGTATTATAATTTATAACTGTGATACCTTTATTTCAGTTTTGGGAGGTTTCAGGGCAGAAATGGCCGCGAAGAATGCTTACTTTTGTGAAGATTACACTTCGAGAACATCGCGCGCAAAATGTGCGTTCCTTGAATGGAAGCACGAAGTTCTCTTTCGATCTCCTGTCTACCAATCTTCAGGTGAGTAAAACGCTTGAAAAAACAAATGCGATCTATTTTATCCCAATGATGAAACTCGTTGTATTTAAAAGGTCCAAAAAGGCAGTAGTTTTAGGGCCCTGTAGGGCTACACGTTTCTGTAAGCCTAATGTGATGTCACGTTTTAAGTCCAGCCAAAGCAGCTTACTGCAATGTGCGCTTCTGAATAAACTTTATTGGGCAATAAAAAGAGTTAATATTAAATATTTGATCGTATTGGCAGACAGAAATGAATGCATTTGATTACCTCTTATAAGTCTTAATAAAACTGTGCGCTATCCCAACATGGCGTCGTCGATTTCATCACGATTCAATTGACATTGGTCAGCTACTGAGTTGTTTGCTTCAGTGGGACGTTCAGTGGAGCGTCGCCTCTAGAAAAAACTTGAACGCTTATCATTCTTTCGGCAAAGTCTATCTGCCCAAAATTTTCCACACTGCACGTGGCCAGTATAATGCACTTACTCCATTTTTTGGCGCTTTCTACTCGGACTTTGCTCGCCCTCGTCGTATCTGTCGCTATCTTCCCGTCGTTCACTGTTCTCTTCGTCTGAACAGTTAGCGCCACCACAATCCTCAGCTGAGCGGCCACTGTCGCTTTGGTCTCGCTCACTTTCCACTTCATCTGGACTGCTTGCGCCTAGATAATTCTCAGCTGAGTGTCCACTGTTGCTTTCGTCTTGCTCACTGTCCTCTTCGTCTGGACCCTCCTTCCCCTGCAGCGTGTTGTGGCATGATTGTCTTAATGAGGTCCTGGATACTGGAAGAGTCTAGCTGAGTGGTGTTGTACTGTACAACAGCTTATAATCAAATCTTTAATTATGGTGTTGTGGGTTACCAGTCATCTCGCCCTCAAGTTATTTCGCCCCGGTTTTCTAAAATGAGGAGTATCACAACATAAAGATTATTACCTCTTCCCTGCCATTTTGGTGGCCGCTCCTGCAGTCTAGCAATCGGCGGCCATGTTGGATAATTTTTTACAAAGATTTGCAAAAATGCACAAAAAGAACAAAATTATGTGTAAGTATACTTTAATACGGTAAAATAAAATTCATTTGAAATCTTTCTGTTCTGTGTCTGATATAAAATTAGTTATAGTTACACGTCCATGAGTGTTTCTTCACGATAATTTGCAGTCAGCTGTCCATCACTTCGTTTAGCATCTGTTTCCTCTACGTAGCTAAAATCCTCGTTTTCCCAACTCTTGCTGCACTATCTGCATTGGTAGAAATTTCATTCAAAACTTCTCCACAGGTGTGTAGCTAGGTGAAGTTGTCATTTTTAAGCTTGAAGCACTACAAAGTATTTAGGGCTGTGAACCCTTGGTAAAGGAGTCAGCGGTATTTCAATGGCTTGGTAGGTACTTCTTGGCTACTGTCATTATGGTTTTTTTTTTTTGTTTATTTAGTTGCTCACAAAACCTTATACAACATGAATAAAAGTTGTTAATTAAATTATAAAATTAATGTGACAAGGAAGCCTAACGAAGCTTGAAGCTTATATTAAGAGGCTTCCTTCAACTACCTACTGAACTAAATTCATGGCTGAGTGCAGAGTGAATAAGATCAGAAAATTAAGCGACAGATTGGCTGTCAGTGAGATAATTCTTTAAATTTTTTTTAAAAACAAATATAGAAGGAGAGCTAATTAGTGAAACAGGCAACGAATTCCAGATTTTAGGTCCTCAGTAAAGGATACTGAATTGCTTTATATTTGTTCTACAAAAATGAGGTCTATACTGAGAGGCTAGTCGAGTTTCGTATTGATGGACTTGATTACTACTTAAGAACAAGTCATGAAAGCTACTAGGCAAAAGATTATGGTGATAAGAATACATAAAGGCAAGGCTGCTGCCTAAGAAAAATTTTAGGGAGCCCTTCGGGCTCCTAAAGTTTAAAGTTAGGAGCCCGAGCCACATTGTTAGGAGCCCAGTTTGAAATCCATGTATTGTTTTTCCAAGATCATTACATAGGTTATAGAGGTTCTTGCACACTTTAATAAGAATTCGCCGGGCCTAATAAATAACACGTAAACAAGAATTAACCGAATTATTTACTTTCATTTATTAATTTATTCAATTAACTTCCACATCTGTGGTGTTCAATGTGACCTAGAAGAGCCTTCAAAGAATTTTCTAAAATGTAACAATTAAACTGCTTCTTACCTTTCTTATACACATTCATGAGCCGGAAAAATATTTGAGGGGCTTAATTTGCGTGTAAAAG